ATTTGGAAAGTCCTTGTTCTCTATTATATTAGATTTATTTATTTCAATGCAGTTAAACAAACAAATATACATGTGTACAATAAGATAAATTGTAACACACATAAATTTCTACAATAAAGTAAAATGTTACACACATACATGTAATGTTACAATATGTATACAAAGAATACACTAACAACTTCTTTTTAAAGTCCATACTGCTGGAAATAGTTCAAATTATCAGAATTTCATGTATTTTTAAATTGCGATTAACAGTAAAAAATTCAATATTGTTTCTGGAAGTTTTAAAGAAATTATCTCCTAATTGTTTGCTTAGAGTGATAACGAATAAGGAAATTTGGTATTCATCTTCAACTATAAAATTATTTTATGTTTCCTTGAGATATTTTTATATCGTCGACTTTCGATGTTAAAGTTATGGTCACTGATACGAATTTTTGTGAGTAATTGTCTTTTGAATATACCAAGGGAAAGAAATTTTGTCGTCAAATTCAACATTCGCTGAGGCAACTTCCAGATACTATGGAGAACGAATCAGGCGTGAAAACATTTGAGACTGGACTGTTGTTAAGATGCAAGTATATAAATTATTGACAAACAATGGGTCAAATATCGCTTACGCAGCAAGCCATAATCAGGGAGTGTTTACATGTATTCTAAATATAGGAGGGTAAACAAACCAATTCTGAATCCTTTAAACCTTTAAACCACTTATACTTTTCTAAATTGTACATATAAACAAGTATCTAGCTGCATAGCAGAGAGAATAAAATTTATTTGTCAAATTGATAAGTTCATATGACACTGGTTGAATCCAGATTCATGTAGATATATAGGGGGCCATTGTCGTTTGATATATGATGAGAAACATTTCTTAAAAATTTGTTCTCACAATTCTAATATTAGATTAGCATATTTTAATTGCATTATCATAGAAGATAATTCATTTGTTAATCTCACTGACAATGACAAAGTTATATATATACTTAACCCATCAACACCAACACAAGTGAATAAACTACGATCCTTTATTAAAAAGTCAATAGAATTGAGGACGGGGGACCCTTTAATATTTACTTGAACCTGTATATATATATATTGAGTTACTTAGTTATTGTCTTCATTTGTTTTGTTATATGTCACAAACTGTAAAGTTTATATGGCAATGAAATATTGAATTGAATTGAATTTGATATATATGATATTCCCAGTTTACCAAAGACGTATATTGGTTATAAATCCTTGATTTACAGATGAAGGAAAAACATTCAAGCAAAACTATTACTGATTTTGAGAAGGCTTTTGATTCCATTTCTTGGTCTTTTCTTCACAAAATATTGAGAAACTCGCATTGTTGGTGATTCTGACATAAACTGGATTAAAATTAAGAATTAATTCATGGGGCTTCAATTGATTGTGATTTTACCACTGGTTGGCCCTTTATGTAAAACATATTATTTCTTATGCAGCATAAATACTGCAATCTGATTGGTTAATTATACCCCGGTGTAAATAACACCCCACCCTTGTTCACCCGGGATAAATAAAATTTTGCCAAAAAATTTAAAAAAATAGAATTTTGCCAAAATAAAGAAGAAAAAAAAAAATGAATAAATTTGAGGACAAAAATTTGTAAAAAAAATTTTATAAATTTTTTTTTAATTTTTTTCCCCGAAAATTCGAAAGAACACAAAAAAAATTCTGAATTTCCCAAAAATAAAGAAAAAAAGTATTTAACAATGCGCAGCAACATCGACTTTGAAAAAATGTTACACTGGAAATTTTTCATTAGCATTTTTCAATTTTAAATCCCGGTTTAAAAATGGGTAAAGGAATTGTTCATAAGAAATAAATTCGTTATCTTGGTGTAATCAGGGGTGTACGGAATTTTACACCGTTGTTGAAATTCATACACCCATTCGGCTGCGCCTCAGGGTGTATGAATTTTCAACAAGGATGTAAAATTCTGTACACCCCTGATTACACCAAGATAACTAATATTACCACGATGCATGGATGCCCCCTATCCTTTCTTTAATACTTATATTAAATGGCTCATCTAAGTCACTTGATGCATCTCTTCGTGTTCTCCCATCATATTCTGAAGTCTTTGGATTCACCAATGATATAAAAAAAATCAACTGTCAGATAAGAGGTAAAAATCATAGCTAAGATAAAAACGTGTATGAAGAGTTGATTGAAATGGGGCTCTAGCACGATTTAATGGATGTTCGCTACTCTTGTTTTTCCCTTTTTGTCAGACATTTTGAATCCTCTTGTTTTATCAATGTACTGCTAATAAACATTTTGCCCACGAGCCCCTACGTTTCTTTTTTTAATTTTATTTCATAAAGTTTAAAAAGCCATTTTTGAAAATCTTATAAAATCCTTGATATTTTTCAAAGAATTTGAAAGAAAAACGGTACCAATGTTAAATATATGAAAAATCTAGAGAGATTAAACTCCCGCCAAAATTTCAATTCATAATATCTCAAATACAAGTACACGGACCTGTAATTGTTTTCTACTTTTTAAGTTCCGTTATTTATATACTCCAATTTATAACAGTCTTTTTAAAAGCTTGTTATTTTGAAATAGAGGAGCAAACATCCTTAAGTACAGCATCGGCTGATCTTTATATAATGATCAAATTAAATTACATGTACAAGCGAGTTTTAAATGGTATAAATTTCACCCGCAGAAGATGGTCAAGAGTATGTCACCCCTTTTTGAAAAATGACCATTCTGAAAACTTGTTTATATGAAAATTAAACCATTTGATTAAGTTAATTTAACTAACAGAATGTATGCTTTTATCTGGCATAATTAACCAGATAAGGTCAAGTGAAATCTCTTAGGTCAAGATTATTATATGGTGGATTTTAAATGTTAAATTTTAAAGCGTTTATATAGGGACTGAAATATACATGGGTAAGAAGATCATATAACTTGGACTATAAATGGGAGAGGTAAGTCTCCATTGTAGAGCAAATAAATTTGATGGAACTAAGCAACATCAGGCCGATAAAGAATCGAAAAATAAATTTTTGAAGGTGGTTTTTTTATATGCCCGGAAAAATTAATAATCAGTTTCAAAAACCAAGATGTTTAGCTGCATTTATAACTTTCCCTTTAATGGAGAGCGAAAACATAAAGGTTCCAGTGTATGTGATCAAAATTGGACTTAACGTGGAATGCGGAAACGGCAGTATAATGTCATTTCAAGACTTCCAACAAAAATATCAATTGAGACCTAATATATTCTTAATATATTTGACAGTATTATGGAATGATACACTCATTGAAATCTATTAGAATTGGTGTGATAGAGGAAAAATCCTAAGCATTGCTTCACCTCTGAATCTAAGAAAAGTTCAAAGTTCATATTAAAGGTTTCCAATGATACTTTTACATGAAAAGAACATCGAGAAAATAATGTAGATATGACAGGTATTACTTAAAAAAAACTCACTCTTGTTCTATAAAAAAACACACACAAGAAACAAAACTTCCCTGGTTCCAGTATATAATTTTCCATAGAACATCGGAACTAATGATGAAGATTTACAACTGTTATCGACGGGTGCCACATGTGGAGCCGAATCTGTTAACCCTTTCAGAGAACCTGGGATCACGCATGTTTGGTTTTTTTTTTTTTGGGGGGGGGGGGGGGGGGGGGATTCGTGTCGCTCAGTCCTTATTTCTATATGTTGTGTTTTGTATATATACTGTTGTTTAATTTTTGGTCGTTTTTCGTATTTTGACATGTCGTTGTCAGTTTACCATCGATTTATGAGTTTGAATATCCCTTTGATATCTTCCGCCTTTCTTTGATATATTCATAGATTATCGTTGATCATCAAAGCAATCGAGTTGAGATGACCAATGATAATCTGTTTATCGCTATTTCACCTATGACGACGTTGTCAATTTCATGTCAATTTCATTAGCAACGGCACGTGCCCCCTTAGTTTCTAGCGATAATTTTCATATCACTCGGCTCGGCTGAGAAAGGAAATTATCAGTCAGTTAGATCAAAGGAAATTTTCGTAAAATAGCGATAATCCGACATATCGCAAAGAACAACAAGAGAGTATAGAACACTTATCTTTGTCTCCTATTTCTGGCTTGCATTTTACCATTGGATTTTTTAATGAAAAATATTGAACTTCATTTGGGATCAAAATTATTTCATTTTGTATATTTGAAAGTATTTACATGAATTTTGTTGAAAATCAGGTAATTTTGATTGATAAATAAAATGCTTACAGAAACATGTTACAAGAAGTAGTTCCAAATATAAATGCGTTAACAGTTTAATTTATCTCCGGAAAATCCTGAACTTAGAAAGACCTATTTCCTTTAAAACCTTAATCGAGACGAATAACACAAATAATGGAACCACTGATTGCTTATAATTGATTAACCTTTTTTCTTTTCTTTTCCTGTATACTTACAGTATTTCTGTACTTTTGATTCGAAAACAACAAATACATTTAAAGCGAAAAGTATAAAATTAATTATCTGATGTTAACCAATATTTATTTTAAAGTTATGTTTTATATTTTAAAATATTTAAGTGTTCAAGTGACTTGTCATTCTGTTCGCCTGTAATTTAGCATGATGTACCAGCTTGATGTTTCAATAAAGCAAATTCATTATAAAAAGAACTGTTCAATAGTTTCTGAGGTTTCATAAACCTGCAATTCTTTTGACTTAGATAGTTTCAATTTTTAGTAAACAAAATTTTATAAACGATGTAAAATGTAAGAACATTTTATCTAAGCCTTATGTGTATATTGATGTGTAAGCTTGTTTGTACATCCATATTTTGTATATAAACGTGGTTCACCTGTAAGATGAATAAATAAGTAAAAATACTTACAAAAATTAAATTGCATGTATACTCGCTTCGCTTGATATTATCAACTAACTGTTTACATAGCATAACATTATGTAAATTCACTTAGTATATGAAAATGGTACAGATACTTCCCGATTAATTTAAAAAAAAAGGGGTTTAATGATTCGAAAAAGTTTAAAATGTAATTGCAAAACCTATAAATTACAGTCAGGTACATGTATATGTTACTAATGGACTAGGAAGTTTGTGAAAACATTACCTGTGAAACGTCTTCCGTCTTTATTACAAGGACATATTGTTCAGGCATTGATGTTAAATCATTCTGCGTAAGTTACATTTGCATTTCATTATTATACTGCCGCTCTGCATTTTTTGTGGTGTTAGTGAGTGCCGTGTCTGTCTGTTCGTCCACCTCTCCTATGTACTCGCAACTTATTCTAAAACATAAACTGGATTTCAGTGAATCTTTATAAAATGTCTTCGCTACCTTACAGCTTGAGCAGCTCCTTTTTTTATTCTGTGGTTTATAAATGATTTCGGGGCTTCTCATAATCAAACATAGACTATAAAGCATACCGTTTTTTTCTCTTTTAAACTGTTCCATTATGTCATCCAGGTCCTTTTATAGGTTACATGTACTACGATATGCGCTTTTCTCATTGTTGAAGGACATGCAGTGCTAAATAGTTGTTAACATCCTCGTCCGTTGATCTCTGGTGGATAGTTGTCTCATTGGCAGTCAAGCCACATCTTCTTATTTTTATATTTACCACAATTTTAGAAATTTGCGAAATGTCTGGACGAGTATGAATATATTAACTGTGCTCACAATCTTCCTAATGATAAAAGTTTAACTGAATTAAACCAACCATTTCATGATACTACTTGGAAGTGTGATGAGATGATTGAAGCTGTTAACTTTCTAAATTATTAAGTCAGGGATTTCATTACAACAAATTACTTAAAACCTTTACTAAATTCTTTCATAGATACAAAGATTTGGTTCGGAAATTTTGATGTACCTAGAAGTAGAAAACTTATTTCAAATGGGATAGCACATCCTTATTTTAACGGAGATGTTGTTTACCGTGCCCGGAAATTTGGATACGATCCGGGTAAACTTATCGATCCTTTTAGTAAACTTCTTCTAAAAGGTTACAAATTCAACACTGTAATAAGATCTTTGAATATTTTTTTTATTGGAATAAATATAGATTTTGTTATCAATAAATTAAAATCAAACTAAATATTATTTTTATATACATATGCACATTCATGGCTCTACAATCTGTCGATATCTGCATCTTGGCATTGCACAATGTCATGTTTTTTTCTGATTGTTAATTACAGGATCTCTTATAGCTGACTACGCGGTATAGTTTTTGCTCATTGTTGAAGGCCGTACGGTGACCTATAGTTGTTAACTTCTATGTCATTTGGTCTCTGGTGGAGAGTTGTCTCATTAGCAATCATACCACATCTTCTTTTTATATTGTTACCACATTTAAGGAAAACAGACAATCCTCTAAACACACCTTGTCAATTACTTTGTAATATCGGTGGGTGTGCAACTCAGACAAGTTCACGAATTTGAAAATTGTAAAAAAAAATCAGGTATATTGCAAGTACAAAATAAGAAGTCCTACGAGCAAAGCTCACAAAATGATATCCCAGCCTCTTGCAAATATAAAAAAGAAGATGTGGTATGATTGCCAATGAGACAACTCTCCACAAGAGACCAAATGACACAGAAATTAACAAATATAGGTCACCGTACGGCCTTCAACAATGAGCAAAGCCCATACGGCACAGTCAGCTATAAAAGGCCCCGCAATGACAATGTAAAACAATTTAAACGAGAAAACTAACGGCCTAATTTATGTACAAAAAATGAACGAAAAACAAATATGTAACACATAAACAAACGACAACCACTGAATTACAGGCTCCTGACTTGGGACAGGCACATACATACAGAATGTGGCGGGGTTAAACATGTTAGCGGGATCCCAACCCTCCCCCTAACCTGGGACAGTGGTGTAACAGTACAACATAAGAACGAACTATAAAAATCAGTTGAAAGAGGCTTAACTCATCAGATGGATAAAAATACCAATACTACAATTACAAGTGTACGTGGCCGGGTACTTGTACATCCAAACAACAAAAAAACACTAAGTACAGATCTGAGAGTACTCGCAGTTACTGACAGCTAGTTCAAAGCCACTAACAACTAATAACAAAAATCATGCATCTAAGACTAAAATTATCAATCCGTACACATCCAACATCCAATGGATTTAGTCTAAAGACGTCATAAACAGTCAGAGAAAAACATGACCTTGTGCAATGCCAAGATACAGGTATCGACAGATTGTAGATCCATGAATGTGTATATGTATATAACAATAATATTTAGTTTGTTTTTAATTTACTGATAGCAAAATCAATATCAGTACCAATAAAAGTCCATACTTCGGTGAGGTAAATCCAAAAAAACAATTGAGATCACAAACATGTAAGAGGTACTAAATGGCATTATATTGTGAAGATTCCGAGTTTCATCAAATTCGTTTTAAAGGTTTAAGAGGGGACGGGAATGTAAATGTGTATTGTAGTGTGCACATGGTTTTCCACATGAAATGATTCTGATTATAAAACAAAAAATGAGGTGCACAAAAGTTGTGGATACAAAATGAATACCCTCTAATATAGTGCCATGGCAAGTCCATTGTTGAGGGAAACCCAAAAATGGTTCTGACAAAAAACAAAACAAGAAGTATACAATAGTATTACATGCTTATAAGATTGTGATAAAGTTAGAATAACTTGTAATAAGGGGTATAACAGGATTTGCGGAAATAAAATGTATACCCCTAAATAAAGCAATGTCAAAGTCCATGCTTTGGTGAGGGAAACCCAAAACAATATTCAGATAAAAAAAAAGGAGATGCACAACAACATTATTTTATTAAGGTGGTGAGAAAGTTTAAATAAATAGTAATAAGGTGTTTAGGAGGAGTTGCGAAAATAAAATTGATATTCCCAAAATAACTAATGACAAAGTCATTGCTTGGTAGGTTAAACCAAAAAGTAACCTGGACCAAAACAAAATAGGAGTTCATTGTTTATTTTAGACTTTCATTATATTATTATTGAAGTACAATATATGAGTAAGATTCGGTGTGAGTTCCCCCAATTCTGTCAAGATGTTCAGGAGCAGTTGTGGATACAAAGTTGAGACAACGGGGCGAACAAATGCATGAATGTACAAAAGGACAGACAGACGGACGGACACCCCTCCCCAAATCACTATATATCGAGGATATAACAACAGTTTAATCTTCGATTCCCTTTCTTTCGATGCATATTGAAAGGAAACAACAATAGAACAATCAGCAAAAACTTCCTACTGTCCTGTTTACCATACTATAAAGAATTATCGAAGCTTTTTAATATTTCTTTTTTTGTATATTACCCAAGACACTTGTCTAGTATAAGTAATATGTCTCACTGTTCTATATATGAAAGACTTTCTTAATTACAAACTTCCTTTTTCTAACTTTTAAGTGGTAACTGTATATACTATCACATGTTAAAATACTAAAATACGGTTTCATTTTTCAAATACTAGTAATCACTAAAGCAGATATAGGAAAAAGAAGGAAGAGTAATGTGAGTACAATGTATCGTAAGAATGCATGGGAATTAAAGAATATCTGTTTTTATAAAACAGTTACTATGGTTGATTTGACATGTTAAATTGGCATTAATTGTCAAATTCATTTTCACCGATGTGACTCAAATTCTCAATATTTGATTTATAACATACTAACACGTATATCCAAATAACAAAAAGTCTAAAATAAACAATTAACAATGCATGGCTGTTGTCTGCTCTATGGTCGGGTCGTTGTCTCTTTGACACATTCCCCATTTCCATTCTCAATTTTATGGACTTGATAATTTTGATCAACATTTCGTGTGTATTTTAGTCTGGACGCCATCGAATTAACCACCGAGATGACGGTCATATAACCCGATATAAACATAATATAGATATAAATAGATAGCGAGCACGTGCAATTGGATTTAGTTCTGTTGGATTTCAAATAATAGGTTGAAAAATATGTCAATCATCGTGTTTACCTGTATAAGAATGATTTTTATGTGGATTGAATCAGTTAACCAAATGGTTCATCCTTGTTTAACTTTCAATGTTGACATTTTTTTCTTTTTAATAGCTGAACCCGCCTAGTACATGCGTAACCCATCTCTAGCTTAGGGGTTAAATTGAAGGTCACATGAATACGGATTCAATCAGGTTAAATTATTGACTTGCAAGTGAATAAATCACCAGCGATGTTTTTGAGCTTATTTTGACAAATTTGGACCAAACTGACTGCTTATAACGAAATATTATTTCAAAATTCTGCTTTTATTAATACTCGAAAAATAAAGAATCGTATTTTAAATTATTTTCTTAATCGTAGCTAATGCCCCTTTAAAATATTGGAGGATCATTATATGTTTTTCATAATGACGGCTTCCAGCTACAAAAATTACATACTTTATCAAACATGGTAATAGGACATGAATATTAACCTTGCTTTTCTACATGTACTATAGGCCGACTCACTTAATTTGGAGTTTAAACTGCTCCGTCACAAGGTAGCAAGCAGTCCGCGAGAAGAAATATCACACAAACTGGAAACATTATTCTAACTCCCAGTCAATCTCTCTTTGCTTTTTAAAAAAACTGTAAACATAGGTTGCTATTTTCTCAAATTTCAAGGAATAACTTTTCACGCGGCGGAAATACTCGACTATCGAACGATGAATGGGCTCTTCACATTAAAATTATTGATTTGTTCTATTCAAGCAGTGGATTTGTTCGGGCATCTTTACGTGATGGCGAAATAAGATAAAATAACCCCCGCGCAAAACTTTCCACATTAATAGTATTTGGTATGCTCAGTCGGGGATGGAAACCCAAAGATCTCCCGCACTCAATGAGATCAAGATACAACGAGAACACCGTAGCGTTTTATAATAATAAGATACTTGTACAATAAAGTAGAAAATCTCTATGCTGTAATTAATCCGTATCTTCCAGCATCCTTAACATATCTCTTCTAACACCATGTTACTGATAACTGAACATGCATAAAATATCTGCCACTGGACGTTAAGCAACCAACTATCAATCAATCGTTTTACTAATATTTAACTGTAGCAACCAGATGAACATTTCAACAAGCAATGTGTGTATTACCCTAACACAAACTTTAAGGAGCTGATATATATATGAAAAGGACCAAAAGTGTAGTATAACCTTGGCAACGATTCAAACCTATAGGCATAAGGGTGGTTCATTAATAATTTCAAATGATTTCCTGACTTTTATTTCTTGCAAATTTCATTAAAAAAAAACATTATACATATTCTCTGTCAGTACCGAAGTACTGAACTATATAAGATTGGTGATACCCACGGGATTGATCAATTTCAAATCATGACTGCTGTACCTAAGTACTGGCACACCGCTATTAAGACGGTCTGTGTCATAGAAAATAAAACATTTATAATTAGACTTTTTTTTAAAAAATACAACGTTGGAAGAATATCAAAGCAAAACAAAAAAATCGGAATATAATTTAGAAGCAGCTCTAGTAATCTTCGATGTAAAGATTTTGAAATATGTTTGGGTTTTTTTCCCTTAAAAATACCAAGATTAGTAACTTTTACAATAATAGGTATATCTACGATCAGTTGCTATCAAATTCGTCATATTTATACTGCGTTTATACATGCCGATTCTAGACAATTTTCCTAAATAAATTAGTCAATTTAAATATTTAAGCGAAGAGTCATTGTTTCAGGCGATGCCTTTTATACAACGAAAGACCGTCCCTGCCCGCCTTAGCCAAGTTCAGCTTACAAAAGATGTTGCTATAGGGGATGAACTCAATTGCATAGCTAACCATACCCTTTGTGGGATAATACAACAGCTTAGTAGCCTGAGTGACAATGCCTCGGAAATGTTTGAAGATCTGCTTACAGAGACAATGAATGTCATCACTAGATCAAAAAACCTCAAAAATAAAGTCAGCGAAATGAAAGAACAATGTAAAATGCTTGAAAAGGAGGAGACTGGGGGTAAGTTACTAAATTATGTTACTGTTTACATTATCGAATATAGGTACATTGATCCAAAAAGGATAGAAGGACACAATCGAAGAATCATATGAATCAAAATCACCCATTCAAATTGGTTATCCAAAAATACATTGTTCACTTCTTTGATAGCACGTTAATCGTTTGTTTAATGTTAAGCACAGGGATGTTTTAGCTCATTAGATATACATAAGTGTATCTAATGAAAGTAACTATTTCTACTTCTACTTTGTAGTGACCGCCTTCAACACGTTGAAGTTTTATGTCGCTTGTACTACGCATGGTTTAGTGGAGACGTATATACAGTGAAAGTTAACAATTTTGTAATTATTAACAAAATTGATTATAACATTTTTACATAGTGCACATTTTTATTTTATTTATTATATTAAGATAAAACTATTTACACATGATAAATTTACTGACTGTAGGTGTAGGTCGAGACAGCTGCTTTGGACGACTCTACAGAGTCGCTCATCAAAATACTCAGAGGAAGGCTGTTCCAGTTCTTAATCGTTCGCGGAAAAAAAAGATTGTTGGCGTATTTGTGTTCTGCTGGGTGGAATTTGGTATGAGAGTGTGTGCATGTTCCGAGACTGTCTCAGCAACTATAGATGAATCATTAGTATATGGTTTAATCTCTAAACTAAAAATCGTTTAATCTCTACGCACAAAATTTTAAATTGTTGATTCTCTAAACATAAGAATTTCAATTTATACCATGAAACTTTTCATAACTAAACATTCATATTCGTTTACAGGATCTTTGCATGCAGTGAACATTGAAAATGAAAAGGCACTATCGCAGCATTTTGATCAACAAATTCTGAGTTTAGAAAGCAGATCTAATGCTATAAGAACAATCTACGAGGCTGCTAATCCTCCGCCTGCTATTACAAAGATGAACCAATTCAGGTAACAGTGTACAAATTTGTAAATGCATTCGCACTTGAGGTCCTGTCCATTCTAAATGACTGAACCACGCTCAAAATTACATAACAATCGCGGTTTGAACTTATCGGATTTGATTGGTTACACTTTTATTGGCTGTCATGGTGACAATACCGATGCTAGGCAACCAACTCTTGAAGCACGGATGCGGGAAAGGGGCATCAAGGGGACCTTTTTGAGAAATCCTTCAGGCTAAATGTTACCTTAAACTGTTTGACCTTTAATGAGGGCATATTTTCAGTTGGATTGCTGAAAATTAATCTATATATACTATATGCATGTTTTGGGTACCTAATTTTTTGACTCATGGGGTTCCAGATGATTGATAATTCAGACAAAGGAACTTTGACAAATCCAGACAAAAGAACTTTGACAAATTCAGACAAAAGAATTTTGACCAATTCAGACTAAAGAACTTTGACCAATTCAGAACTTCTACCACGTCAAATTCGTTATTTTTTACTAGTTGTGCGCAGCAGATAAGACATACGCTAGGGATAGTAAGTTATTTTCTTCTCCAAAGATATAGTAAAAAATAGGAGCAAGCGAGTACGAAGAATGGCAAATTATATTGACCAAACATCTATTGTCACAACTAAATTGAGAGACTTGTTACCTTTTAAGATATACACACGATAGAAAATTGCCAGGAAAATGTCTTACACTCTTGAAGTATATACTAGTAGTTTTAAATTGTTGCCTCTTACGTTCGATATTTTTTTAAGATTCATTGATCAATAGATTCATTGTCTTTTTCAGGGAAAATGGTACGAATGGATTGAAACTGTATACAGACCCAACGTTTTTCTTTATGCATTGGTTTTCACAGATGCAGAAAAAGGAACCCGATAATCGAGAGCATAAAATAAAGGTTGGTACTTTGGCTGATTGTGCTAAAATATAAACACGTTTGTTCCGCTTTGGCTAATTGTGCTATAAATAGAAGTCATTTGGTTAAATTTCAGCTTACTTCATTTTTTTTTTGCAGCGTACACCCAGCAGACATATCAACAGCATTGGTCTCTCTGCAGGAAGAAAGACGTCAATGTTCCTATATTTATTTGCCTAGGTCAACTTTGAGATGTTTGCAAGTAGAAAAACACAGCAGGATCTGCTTACCCTTCCGGAGCACCTGAGATCATACCCGGTTTGTGGGGTTCGTGTTGTTCACTCTTTGGTTTTCTGTGTTGTGTTTTGTATACTGTTGTTTTTTTCTTTTTGTCGTTTTTCGTTTTTGCCATGGCGTTGTCAGTTTATTTTCGTTTTATGAGCTTGAATGTCCCTTTGGTATCTTTCGCCTCTCTTTTAGCTACGAAATATATAAAAATATGAAAACTTAATATGCCATGGAAATATACGTATTTCCATTTCTTTTATACAGAGAGCAGAAAGAAAAACAAGGCGACAAAATGGAAGTGGACCTAGACAAATTAAGAGAACACGGGATATAATGAAAGAAAAGGCAAAACGTGAGGAATTCAGCTCAAAGGGTCTTCAACCAAGTCACGGGAAGTGTAAGAAGAATAAAAAGAAAAATATGGAAGGTTTTTCAAATACACAGTGGGAAGAACGACATCCTGACCAAGTTCCTGCAAATGGAACAGAACACGACAAGGTATATATAGTTTGTATTACTTTACTGTATACAAGTTTAAATTTACAAGTTTTCCATATGTATGTAGCAGTGGAAATGCAGTGTGTTAAAATAACTGTTTGAACTATGTAATGAAACAAGTTTCGATTATCTTACGGTAAATAAGAGCACCTTTTTTATTAAGCATCTACTCCTATTTTCCTATTCCTACAAATGATAAATAGTTATTGAACATTAAGGCACCTACCTTTTACCTTTTGTGGGAGGCTTATGATTTTATTTTAGTTTTTTTTTTTCGGGGCAAAACACTATAATTTAGAAATGAAAAACAAACTAATTTTTTTTAATAACATACACTGGAACAAGATTTTTTTAGATCAATGTTGGCTTTTTTAGTTTCTTTCCCTTCCCTTTGAAACATTAATTTCAAGAAATTTAAAATCATACAATTAATTTAGAATAAAAACATGTCCTCAAACCACAAAATAATCTATTCAATTGAACATCATTTGAGGCATGTTGTTTACTATTTTAGGTGCAAAATGAAACCTCAATCTCAGTACCACTTGCCATTAATGATAACGAAGATGTTACAACGCCGCCAGTTCCTCTGCGTAAACACAATGAAACATGCCATAATACACAGTCTGTGTTACCTGCACCGCCAGATGAAAGATATAGCCAATTACCACCACCGCCGCCAGACGACAGATATAGTCAATTACCACCACCGCCGCCAACACCGCCACCTATTCTAACAGATAATGATCCACAAATTTATCCCAGAAACAGCGTCGCTCCTCACGATTTTTATCAAAATGACAAAGAAAACTCTATTAATGAAGATCGAGACTCTATTTTCCCTTTACCACCGCCACCAGATCTTTTAGAATTGAATAATGACGAGGAAATTGACAGTTTTATGGAGCCACCTCCTCCACTTGAAATAACTTCAAACATGATCAGACCATCAAATAAGCTCAAAGCAAAGAGGATAAGTACATTTGTCATGACATCCGGCATGGAAACGAGCGACAATATAGATGGGCGGCGATATACCAAACTCATAGATTATCCGGGAATTTCTAATGCACCGCCACCACCACCGCCACCTCCGGTACCAGGATTACCACCTCAGCCAAATGGATCGGTAACGAATAATGCACCTACTACTTCTGAATCTCTACCTGCAGCGGGAGTGTTTACAGAAAATTCTCTACTCGCAAGTATGTTTTTAATGATAACAGATATTTTAGATTTAAAAAGGATTTGTGTTTTGTGTACTGTTGTTTGTCTGTTGGTCTTTTTCATTTTTAGCCATGGCGTTGTCAGTTTATTTTCGACTTATGAGTTTAACTGTCCCTTTGGTATCTTTCGCCTCTCTTTGACATGTGCACAAATTAATATCTTAACTGCCAAAATAAATCAATTTCAGTTAAAAAGAACCTAAAACAGGCGAAAGAAAGAAAGACACCAGCACAGTCAGTAAAAACACAGTCAAACCAACTTGATGTTAACACAATAATGAACCGAGCGTTAGAAGGCCACAGAAAGTTCATCGAGGACAGTTCAAGTGACGAGGACGATAGTGACTTTTCTGATAGTGATAGTGACTGGGATTAATACCGAAAGATTGCGAATAAACTGAAATCAGTAAAACTGAGGACTTAATTCAATTTAGTGGCGATTTCAAATATAAGTATTTGGAAAAAATGCTATAGACCAATGACGAATCTAAAGAATTCAGTTGAATCTGAAATTTTAAGTTTCGTGAATGATTTGTTTTACATTCTTGAATACTGCACATGCATGCTTTAGAATATAAAGAAAATCATATCATCTGCTTATTATAAATATAGGATGGCCTGAATGGGGTTAAAGAAGAGAAAATAATGGCAAAACAATAAATGATAGAAATCAATGAAAACAATGGGGTGCTAAAATAAAACGCAAATTTGGTGATAATGGTAAAATTACGGAATTACTACATCGCGTAAATTTTACGCGAAACTAAAACTGTATCAAGGTAATGGTTTATATATATATTTGATTGCATTCAATATGTGTTTGTACAAGTATAATTTGAAAATAAAATGAATATAAAAACTTACCATCAAACACAAAGGAGAGAGAGACTGTTCCTATGGGAAAAATCTGTTCAACTGCGTTTCACTAAAACCAATACAGATTGATTTTTTTTTTTAAATAAGATGTGGTATGATGGCCAATGATACAATTCTCCATCAGAGACCAAATGGGATAGAAGGTTAAATATAGGTCACAAAAGAAAAGCACTAAATTACAGGCGCCTGACTTGGTACAGGCACATCATAACAGTATATATGTTAACAATACAATTTAAGTAGAAACGTCATATTTAAAAGGTAACAACTCCTATAAGAAATCGTCCGACATTTTTGATAGATTTACAGTAGATCCGACTGTTCAGTCAAGCATATCTATAAACAGCCATGTTGTTTTCTGGATGAACAAACTGGTTCAGCAGATTATGAGTTGAGATCTGATAGACAGCGAGGCATACGAGTAAAATGGTCATCTTGGTGCAAAACTGCTATTGAACAGTGTCATCGACAGTTTCCTGGTGGGACTTTAAATCGGTTTTGATGCTTACTGTTTCACTTTATAAACGTTTTCAAGATAGTAGGCAAAATACACAAGTCGGTCAAAATAGTTAGTTAAGGACATCGACGCCGATTAGGGTATGATAAAAGGAGATGTACATGTAGGGTACATGTCAATGATTGGTGATTGATTGATTGATTGGTGTTTAACGCCACTTTCAGCTATTGGCTATTTCGTGGCGGCCAATTTTTATTGGTTGAGGAACCCAGAGTGCCCGGAGAGAACCACCGACCTTCATGGGAAAACGGACAATTCTAGCCAATTAAGATTGGAGTCGAACGCACCTGCCACCTAAGGAACTCACAACCTCAGTGTTGACAGGCTAGTGATACAGTAGTTAAACTATTTAGACCACTCGGTCACCGAACCTATACACGTCAATGAGAAAACTATCAACCCAACAACCAAAGAAACCAGAAATCTAAGAGTCATTTAAAGGTTTCAGTGATCTTGTCTTTTTTCAGATCTTAAGCATTTTTGTTAAAGACAAGTATACTTGCACTTTACTCTTAATATATTCTATTCTTAACCATCATAAGATGAGTATAAAGGAAACTAAACAATACCTGGTACAAGTATGCTAGAATCCAAGAATATATCTATTTTTCAGAAAAAATAGAAATCACGTGTATTCCTGACTGTCCCGTAGATCTCACTTGCAAGCCTGGATCATGTATTATAAATCTCACTTGCATTCCTGATTGTTAATAGTCCAAACTTGCATACCCAGGTGTTCTTAATCTGTCTTGCATTTTTGTGCGTTGTATAAATCTCACTAGCTTTCTATCTTTTAGTTTCATAGATCTCACTTATATTCCTTGTTGATTTTTAGATCTCACTTGCATTACTAGGTGTTTTACAGATCTCGTTTGCATTCCTGTGTGTTTTATAAATCTCATTTGTATTCCTGTGTGTTTTATAGATCTTACTTGTATTCCTGTGTTTTATAGATCTTACTTGCAGTCATTTTGGGGCCCTTTATAGCTTGCTGTTCGGTGTGAGCCAAGGCTCCATGTTTAAGGCCGTACTTTGACCTATAATTGTTAACTTTTTATACATTGTGACTTGGATGGAGAGTTGTCTCATTGGCACTCATACCACATCTTCTTATTTATATTTATAGATCTCACTTGCCTTCATCAGGGTTTTATAGATCTCACTTACATTCCTGTGTGTTTTATAGATCTCAATTGCATTCCTGTGTGTTTTATAGATCCACTTGCACTACTAGGCGTTCTATATATCTCAATCGCATTCCTGTGTGTTTTATAGATCTCACTTGCACTACTAGGTGTTTTATATATCTCAATCGCATTCATGTGTGTTTTATAGATCATACTGGCAGTCCTAGGTGTTTTATAGTTTAAAAGCATTCCTGTGTTTTTTATAGATCTAACTTGCAGTCATAGGTGTTTTATAGATCACATGCATTCCTGTGTGTTTTATAGATCTAACTTGCAGTCATAGGTGTTTTATAGATCACATGCATTCCTGTATGTATATTAATGGTTTTGTACCATTGTTACTTGACAAATGTTGACCATTTTGTTTGGAATCTTTACTGATGTCAGTGGATACAAAGTCGAAATAATCAAAAACAAGCCAGGTGATTTATAAATTGTTACAGTTTTTTGAAATGAAGAAATATAGAAAGAAGGGAGCAGTGCAATTACTGGATTAGCTGTTGACCCATCTATAATGGAAAATGATTTATAAAAAAATAACTAGCGTGCGCAACTGAGACCATACAATTTCACAATAGTGTAATTGTTATTTCATTTGCCAAGACATAACCTAAAGGCATTAAAGGTTAAATGAATTTAGTTATGGGGATATATTTTTGTGAATAATAAAAGTGATAGGAGGATTTGTGGATACAAAGAGTGATAGGAGGAGTTGTGGATACAAACAGCGACAAAGAAGGAATGAACAGATAAAACTATCATTTTTAACCCATACTTCAAAAAGTGAGCAAAAGTACAAAAAAAAAAAAATGATACAAGAAAATTCAAATGGCAATACAATAAAACAAGTACTTTTTATTTATTTATTTTTTACTGTTCCTATGATCCACATGAATCATAATAATACTCAAAAAATCTATAAATCATCTGATTGCATATTATCACAGTTTAATACTATCACAAGTGCTCATTTGTTTGGAGTAGGAACAGACAGGTCTTTCTTTGACCTTAAACTTTGAAGTATGTATTATTTAACCAAAATAAGCAGTCATTCCAATTCCTAATTGTACAAATTTAAATTAATGGAGCATTTTTTTTTCAATTTGTTTCCTTTAGAGAATGTGGATATCTTCAGGCATATGATATATTTCATTTTTGATTGATTGTTGTGTGCTTAATGTCCAGTGGCAAATATTTCATGCATGTTGAGGAATAGGATATCTTATTTTAAGATTTAAGTCAGATTTACATTTCTAATTCATTTAAAATAGGCTATTAACCTATGACTAAAGTTCGTCCTCCGAGTAAAATCATATTTTTGCCAAGGTATGATACACACCTGTCAAAAAATAATGTTTTTTCGATGAATGTAGTCAATTTTTTTCTAAAGCAAAACTCAGCAATCAGCCAAATTAATGCTTTTTCTTTCATTTAAACTTCAAAATGACAACATCCGTGTTGCACTGTGCTGAAACCTAATTGGTGTATTGATTAATGAATCAGATAGATATCAAGATAATAGGTAAAAACAAACAAAAATGGGAAAAATCTTCATTAAAGGGCAATAACTTCAAAAAGTTGTTGTCCGACGAATACAGCCATTTGACTTATCTATAGATTTTTGGATTTTAGGGCTAGTATAGACCTTTCATAAACCTATTCCATTCACATATAAAATATATTTAATTATGTAATTTCTCCATATTTCATATTGCACAATTGTCATTAAATATCACAAAGAACGATCTACATTATGCAATTTTACCAATACACATATATTACTAAACATACACATCCTGGAAAATTCAGAAATAAAAAAAAATGTAGATATAACAGTTTATTTGTAGGATATAAGTTTTGAAATTTTTTCCCAAATTATTTTTCTTCTATTATCAAATTAAAAAACAAGAATATGTGTCCGTTGAACACTTTGCCAATCAATAAACTGCTTTGTAAACTACCAGAATGGACACAATGCAAAACAATATGCCCCTACTGTCATAGGTGGGAGCATACAATCTTTTCTTATCATTCAATGTTACATTTTGAAAGCAAACACCAAATGCAGTATTGTTTAACATTGTAAACAATGGATATTCAACTTATGACATAATGTTATTGGTATTTTGTTGAATAAACCCATTTATATTTTATTCTTTTTGCTGATGAACATATAAGTTTCTTTTTAGTATATGTTTTAAATTAAAATGAACTTATTTCCTTTATGTCGTTGTTAACATTATTGAATTGCTAAAGTGCTGCTACTGTTGTGAATTTTAACATTCATCATTTTATTTCAAAAATGATTTGTCCGATGAATCTCAAAAAGGTGCTGTGGCTACTGCTGTGATCATTTTATCATTTCTCGTGTAACAGGAATGATCCAAAGAATTCAATGGCGCTAATAATGCTTCTCAGTCTCATCTTTATCATTTATCTAGGCTCTCATTATATGGATTGTCAACTACCTATTCATGGATTAGAATAATTAACAAAAGAATTCAATGGTGCTAATGTTTCTGTCATCTTTATCATTTATCTCGTCTATCATCAAATGGATTGTCAACTACCGATTCATGGATTAAAATAAATAAAGGTATATATGTCAGAAAGTCTAACAAATCTAACGCCTTCAAATGTCCTAATTTCTCCCGCACTTCTATCTCATGTTTCTGACTAATTCCACCAGCTCTAAGTTCTATACACAACTGGTCAATAGAAATCTTATTTGTATCTGGATCAACATTACACTCCCACAATTTCTGTCAAACAAAAAAAATATCAAGTTATTCTACAAGTACTGTGGATTCATTTATTTTCGTGGGTACCAATTTTCGTGGATTAAGTAAAACTTACATGTTCGTTGATATTTAATTTCGTGGTTTTGACGAAGTCTGCATACAAGCTTATGGAAAATTTGTTATTCGTTGAACATTTAATTTCGTTGTTCACCTGTACCCACGAAATCCACGAAAATTGGTATCCAACGAATAATAATGAATCCACAGTATACCGTATTTTGCCATGTATAGTACAAAGTTGTGTATAATACGCACCCTCTTTTCATCCAGCCAATATCATGAAAAAAGTTTAGTTTAAAAAAAAGTTAAAAAGTTTTAAAAAGTTGTCTATAGAAATCTTATTTGCATCTGCATTACACTCCCACAATTTCTGTCAAACAAAAATATATCAAGTTATTATAGATGTATACAAATAAAAGAACAGCATATGCTTCAATGTCACCTGTGGTTGCAAATATTTCATCTGTCCAAGTTCAATAACTAAAAAAAATCTTTTTGGGTTCTTTTAAACAATTTTATAAATATCCTACATGTAGACGTCAACTCATTTAGGGGCCTTTTATAGCTAACTATGTGGTATGAGTTTTGGTTGGTCATTGTTGAAGGCTGTATGGTGGAAATTTGTCTCGTTGGGAATCATACCACTTCTTGTTCTTATATGAGGTTGCTAATAATGCTATTTTCCATATATTTTCTATTTTCAAGAAATGTAGGTGTGATAGTGCTTATGATGCCTTTTCAAGATATATTTTATTGCAATGGGACATAACAATGTATGTTCTTCACAGGAAAAGTTCGTCAATTATACGCGTCTTTATGACGTCATTTACCAGATAGTGGGGATCACCTGTATCCCTGCACTATTAAAGTTCAACGAGCATCTTTGTGATCATCATTATGCAGGATAGACTAGAAATAATGTTTGTTGAACTGTAGGTACTTCATCACAATCCCCTAATGACAGCAGTGCTGATTACCAATTATAAGAATTTAATTTGTCAAATAATTCGTGTAATATCGCATCATATTTTTTCAACCACTCGCTCAACATGGGAAGGAAGTGAAGTTGCCCATAAACACATGTTCACTAAAACCAAAGTTTTTGACCGAAATGCAACAAACTCGAAAATGGTCTATTGACTGACATGGTTCGGTGCCTTTCTTGGTTATGAGAAGTTCAACAAAATCAAAGAGAGGATATTGCATTCATTATGCATTATGATCTAAAAATTAATCAAAATTGCATTGTATAAAGCAAAAAAAAAGCAACATTTTGGCAATTAGTGTGAATTGAGTTATTTCCCTTTGTCTATAAAATGTAAATTTCATAATATCTAAAAACTGTAAAAACAAACAATAACCTGAAAATTGTAGTTCTCAACGATTTCGCATCTCTTTCATCTTGTGTTTTCCTAAAGTTAAGCTCAAATAAATGTTATTCTTTTTAAAAATCAAATTTTTTTTTAGAAAAGGTCAATATTTGAAGGAACCATATTAGTTACAACGTTGTCTTAACAAAAGGAAATTTCAAATGGTAGTTGTTTTTTTAAGATTTACATCAACTATTAAAAACCAACATATTTTCCTGAGACAGAATCATAGAACCATAAAGCATGAGGTAAACAAATTAATTTCTTTTAGTTCCAAACAACAGTGAAAAATATTCTTTTTTAAACAAGGTTAAAAATAAAAATTAGTAACATTATTAAGTGTCCACACCTTGTCGATCAAATGAATACCAACTATTGACTTCTACTGGTTCCCTGTTGTTGTAATTTTACATTTTTTATTTTTTTGCTGGAGGACATCACAGTAAACAAAGTAAATATCACTATCAACACTATACACATATGTTTTCTTACCTTACACATATACATTTTAGTATCCAACATCTTAAAATCCATGCTGCCGATCATATTCCTCATCCAAGAACTAAAATAATGAATTTATTCATTTAAATTTAAAATCGAAATTTCAGGAAGCCAAATTTGCATTTTATGAATTTTATGAATAACTTGAGCAAAATGTACCCTTGAATTAAACTTGAAAAGAAAGATAATCTGTTCAGCTGAAAACCTTAAAAAGTGAACAGATATTTAATTTACATAAGCTTAACTAAAACTCATAAGATTTGAAGCTCTAGCTATGTAGAACATTAAATAATAAAATACATGTATTCTCAATTGAATTGTTTCATATTTTTCATGTCGGGGCCTTTTAGAGCCAACCATACGGTATGGGTTTTTCTCATGGTTGAAGGCCGTACGGTTGACTATAATTACTTACATCCACTTTATTTGAACTTTGGTGGATGGTTGTCTCATTGGCAATCATACCTCATCTCCTTATTTTTATAATCTTATTTTTTCTTATTCATGATTTACTGTAAACCAACTAATTTTTGTGGTCAATTCTAGAAAAATAAAAATAATTAACAAGACAATGTAAAACCTGGACCTTCTCTTACATAAATACATTAAAGAAGATAGAAAATCACAAAAATAAATCCTTGTGGTGTTGATAGTCAAGGGGTAAAATGGTGGACAACAACAAAAATCCTTGAGAATACTAAAATTAGTTTACAGTAAATTGAGAATTGAGAAGAGACCTTGTTTTCTTTCCATGCAGGATATTAACTTTATTGAACTAATCAAATCTCTCCATTATAGGTACTTACTCTAAAGAACTAATTTTTAATGATAGAGCAGCCATAACAGCAAACAATTTAAAATCAGCACCTTGTGAAATATTGTACCCTGTTATTTCCATTACCTGAAAGTAAACATAAAATAAAGTGCAGGATAATTTTCAATCATTTTTATTAATTTAAAGTAAATTTATAAAAAATTAAATGGAGAACGTGTCCATGGGACACAGATTATGCCCCCGCTTGCATATAACGGTATAAAAGGACATAACTCAAGAACGGTAGAAGTGACAAGTTACCCAAATTCGAACTTGATAAGAGTTTTGTGGTAATAAGCATTGTGCATAAGTTTCAACTAAAGTTAGAAAACGTAAACTATTTTTGGGACGTACGGACGGACTAGGGTAACACTTAATGCCCCCTTTAGTGCGGCGGGGGCATAAAAACACCGAGGCTATACTGATAAATATTCTTGTTCTCAGACAATATCATATAAGAAACCGACTGATTGATAATTTACAAAACAAAACCCACAACTACAAATGTCTAATGGGAGACAAATCCAATTCTTATTTTTAGGGAAAATATCTATTGTGTACTAAACAGCATCAGATTCAAAGAAGATAAATTGTTATTTTGAGTCTGAAATGGTCTTCCTCATTATTACATTGAAATTTTAATATCTTGTTTGTGAGACTTATTTTTATTTTCAAAAATATATAAATGAAGGTAAGAAAAAAACCTATGATTTTGCACATTACAGAATTTGGTATACATTTCAGATATAGATTTACAATGGAATGATTATTTAATACCAATCAGAAAAGAATGCATGACTTGTCATGCTTAGCATACCCCCACTCATAGTTCAAAGTATCAGTAAGCAGGATTAAGTAAGTGTCTGATAGATCAGGAAAGTACCCACCCATTACAACTAATCACTGTCAAGCTACTGACCAAATATGAAGTAATTCTGTTCATTAGTACTAGTGAAATGTGTGAAGAAAATTTGTAAGTTCATTCACAATATTTAAAATTCAAAGTATCATCAAATAGGAAGAAGGTAGCTGACAGAAACAAAACAAAAAGTACTCACAAGTTACAACTCATCGCCGTCAAGCTCCTGACCAAATATTAAGTAATTCTGTTGACTAGCACTTCACAAAAGTGCAAAGAAAATTTTTATTGGATGAACAGACAGACAAACAGAAAAGGTGAATGTAAAAATATAACAAATGTTTGTACAAACCCTGTATAAATATTCCTCTTCCTCGTATGAGATTTTCTGATTGATTCCACGTAAACCTATCATCACATCTACACCTTTAATCCACCCTTTCCTTTCTTCATCAACCTATGGAAGATATAAATATCACATGAATAAAAAAGAAGATGGTATATTCATTCTTGACACAAAATACCCACACATACTTAACAGAAGCAAAAGCAAATGAACAGTGATTTTATTGCTATTCTTCATCTTGAGGTTCAACAGATTTGTTTCTTTTTCTTTTACTGTGATGTATTAGGTGAAATTAAAATCGACAAAAAATCAGCTTTGGAAATGATAACACTTATAAACAAGAAAAATCTATTGCTGTAAATTCAGAAATTATTGCATGGTTTTTATAAATGCAAATAATGCGACACCTTGAAAATCGCAATGATAATAACTCGCAGTTTGATATCTGGTGTATATATCTGTATGAAGTTTTTCCTAACATCACAATAATTAAACTCACATTTTGTTCATTCTTCAAAAATCGCAATAATAAATGCAATCAATAATTTATAAATTTACAGTAATGAAAATATTGTATTTCAAAGAAGTAGTGAACGTGTTGACTTTAGATATAAGAAGATGTGGTATGAGTGCCAATGAGACAACTCTCCATCCAAGTCAAAATTTAAAAAAGTAAACCATTATAGGTCAAAGTACGGTCTTCAACACGGAGCCTTGGCTCACACTGAACAGTAAGCTATAAAGAGCCCCAAAAATTACTAGTGTAAAACCATTCAAACGGGAAAACCAACAGTCTAATCTATATAAAAAACGAGAAATGAGAAACACGTATGAACCACATCAACAAACGACAACTACTGAACATCAGATTCCTGACTTAGGACAGGTGCAAACAAATGCAGCGGGTTTAAACGTTTTAATGGTACCAAACCTTCACCCTTTTTCTGAAACAATAGTGTAACATCACAACATAGAAAGTCACACTATAAAGTATCAACTGAAATAGCTTAACTCAATCAAAGGACATATTAACACCAGTGAACATACACTGAACAAATAAATTTGACCTATGATACAATGTAAATACAAAATAAATAAACTAAGGGAAAAATAATAAAAGTAACATGTTATATTGGTATGAAATGTTAAACAAATTAAGAAAAACAATATGCTCGAACAAAAATATCAGCCATTTGCAATAACTTTAAACACAGGTAAATGAAAATAATTTTGTTGTAAGGTAGGTATACGTGTACAGTTCCAATAGAGAAAGGAAATATTTTTACAAAATAAATAATTTTGATGTTCATAGTACGAAGTGAAAATTTATAGTAATACCAAACACTTATCAAAGCTGGTATATAGACCAGATATAACCCTGAATAACATTAAATAACAAAAAAGCATTACAATTAGTATCAACAGGTCAAATAAACAAGAAAGTACAATTTGAGAGTACTCACAGTTACTGACAGCTAGTTAAAAGCCAAAACAATTAATAATAAAAAATCATGCATCAGAGACTAAAATCAACTAAAACACATCCCAGGGATTTAGTATTTTAACGTCATGATCAGTCAAAGAAGACATGACTTGTGCAATGTCAAAAATAAATGTATCGACAGACAGTAAGATAGTTAGTTTAACCTCTTTATAGATCAAAATGAACGTGAGTGTGTCTTTATACATCCCGTTTGAAAAGAATACAAATTTAGTAATGTTTTAATTTGCTGATGACAAAATCAATATTAGTGCCAATGTAAACTATATTCAAAGATCTAATTACAACATTGGTAAGATAACCTTTACTAATAAGTTTGTTTAAAGATTCGATGAGTTTACACGGATCACATAGTGATTTCCGCGCTTTAAGTACAATATTACCATAAAATTTAGGATGTGAAATACCAATTTTAATCAGTTTTCTACAGGTACAGCCAAATTTACTAATCAAATCTTTGTATCTATGAAAGAATTTAGTAAAAGTTTTACGTAATTTATGGTAACGAAATCCCTGACTTAATAATTTACCAGTGATGCATTGATTACGTTCGTTAAAATCTATGACATCACTACACACACGGGGATAACGAACTAGTTGGGATATATAAACACCATATGATGGAGCCAAAGGAACATCGCCGTCTAAAAAAGGGAAAATTAACAATAGGGAATGAAAAGTTGTTTCTTTTGTCGTAAATTTTAGTATGGAGTTTTCCTTTAGAGATTGAAATGTCCAAATCCAGAAAAGGACAACTACTGCTGTTTATGTTAGATTTAGTTAAAGTAAGTTCTTTTGGGTAAATTTTGGTAGTATATTTAGAGAACTCTGGATTGTTTAACGAAAAAATATCATCTAGATAATGGAAGGTATTGTTGAATGTATCAAACAAATGTAACAATGACGTGTCTTTACTGAGTTTGGTCATAAACTGAGATTCAGAGCAATACAGGAATAAATCTGCTATTAAAGGGGCGCAGTTAGTGCCCATAGGAATACCTACTACTTGTCGATACACTTTATCGCTGAAACGTACATATATGTTGTCCAGGAGAAAATTTAAAGCTTCAATCATATCTTCACATTTCTAGTAAGTGTATCTAGATATAGATATAGCATACTTTCCTTTTTCATTACAGAAAAAGGCTTTAAACGAGTTACAGCAAATAAATTTGTAATGAGATTTTTCAAAAGACCATTTAATAAAATATGAAACTTTTTCTTGATAAGATTGTGTGGAAGTGTAGTATAGAGAGTAGAAAAATCATGACTGTCAACAGAATTAAAAGGACCATCAAAAGCATGTATTTTATTTAAAACCTCTAAAGAATTTTTAACACTCCAAAAATAATTAATACCATTATTTTCATAAGCTTTATTACAAAAGTTAATAACAAGTTCTTTGAAAGTAGTAAGGGAGGTAGTTAGAAGCACTGATAGATTAGTTAAGTAGAACACTTACTAGATGCTGAGATGAAACGGAATTCAAATGGTTTTTTGTGCAATTTAGGTAACCAGTACTTAGTAAGGACTTTCAAATGTTCGGAAGAGGCTTTAAGCTTGGTAGTGGCAGTGATATGCTTGTTTACAATTTGACTCTCTGTGGAGCGTACGGACCTGAATGTAGATGAATTTGGTTGTTTTTGTTTTTTTTGTGTTGTTGGATACATTTAGATAGCCTGCATCCCCTTTTAACCACATTGAAAAAATAATTAAAATATAGTTCACTTACAGAATCAAATGTCCTTCTGTAGGCATCTAAAGTTAGCTTGTTGAATATACAGTATTTTGCTAAGAATCCATCTAAAAATAAGTATGAAGATTTGTAACAAAAGCATATGATTCAATTTTTAGAATATTATATGTTATTTAGGAACTTCACAGGGAATATGGGCCCATATCTCCTGTGAAGCCTGAATAAGAAAATATCATACTGGAGTGTCCTGATTTCAACATTAATTACCATTCTGATCTTTGTTTTTGTTAAATGCAACCAATCAAATTGCAGTATTAGCCAGAATATTTTACTCAGTACTGATATATACATCAAAATTTTGAAACTCATTTTTTTCCAGCTAATTCATGATTTTATCTTAATAATGATTAAACAGAACTTCATCAATTATGTTACATACAAATGGGAAAACAAGTACATTTAAAAATGTTATTGTTACTTCACAATTAAATGAATTTTGTTTAAATATTTTTTTTTTTTTTTCATGCAAATATAAGAAATTCATAATCTGTAGATTTTGAAGATAATCAAATTATATATCATATGTGTGTTGTGACTCCAATCAAAAACTGCAGTGATACTGTGACTGAAATTAAAAATCAGAGAGAAAAAAATATGAAAATAAGGCCAAAAATGATTCAGAATCAAACATGGCAGTGTAATTAGTCAAAATTATATGTGGCAAATAATTTTTACAAGAATCTATGAAGTTAGGTGGCGCAGCATACATGTGGCAATGTGGCAAACATAAATGCCAGTTGTCAGTGGGACGTCTCAAGCAAAAAATAAAGTCAAAGATTATTATACGTTGTAGAATATGTGTGTGACTCTTCTTGCATTAAACTGAACATGTTGATCTGCAAAAAACTGATTGCTTTATTAAGATGTGAAGTCATTATACAAAATCACACTATTCTTCAACAATTCTCCAAGAAAAGATGTGGCAATAAAAAAACTAAAGTTTGTGTAAAATAAACAATTCCAAAAAGAACAAAACAGATGTTTTACACTCCAAAAAATATAATTCATTTGTTTTCAAGATAATATCTGCCACATATTTTCTGCCAAGAATTGATAAGTTGATGGCAATATTTACACATTGTGAACATGCTATCTGAAAGATACAATTGCATATATCTGTCTTTAATGTACAGACAAATTCAGAAGCAAAATATTTCTTGAGAAAAAGTCCTTTCTTTTACCGTTTACACTTTAGGATAATATAGTGTTACAATCCCCATGCCTTATTTTATCCTAACCATACCTCTTCTGACTTACCACACCCTAAGCTACACTAAACCCTAGCCTGAACTCAAATATTTCTGGAATGTGAAAGATGATTGACAGATGGTTTGTTGTAAAGTGTAGTGTCAAATATCAAAATGATAATAAGAATTTATAATACAATAACACAAGATCATCAAATTGGTTTTGATAATTGGTCAATATCATTAAAATTGATTGATTGATTGTTGGTATTAATGCCACTTTCAGCACTATTGGCTATATTGTGGAGGCCAGTTTTTATTGGAGGAAGCAGGAGTGCCTGGATAGAACCAATGACCTTTGGCGGGAAAACTGGCAATCCTAATCAATTAAGATTGTAGTCCAACCCACCTGTCATGTAGGGGGTTCCAACTCTCAATATCAGTGTCAACAGGCTAGTGATACAGTAGATAAACTACTTGAGACCACTCGGCTGACTTGGTCCCTTCAACATTATAAAGTCATAGGAGGCTATCATGTTTAAGACAGAGGAATTGGTGAATGCTATTAAATTTAGTGTTTAAAAATTGTCTGTTACTTGAAGGTTGGACAATTAGGCAAAGCATTCAGCCTTTCATCTCCTCCATCATCATTAAAAACTAAATGCCATTGTACAAATGCATAGAAAAAGGATTCCAGGAACAAATGGGTATTGAGTCCTTTACTTTTCACATTTGTTTGTATAAAGTCAGATGTTCTTCTGTATAAACTTTGTTTTCCCCATTGATGTTAGCTTTACAACGTATCAGTGAAAAAAAACCTATAGGATCAATGCGAGCCAATTGATGTTAGCTTTACGCCGCATCAGTGCAAAAAAACCTATAGGATCAATGCAAGCCAATTGATGAATATAAAGGCAATTAGTTATATGAATACACTTCAAGAAGTGTTCATCTCCAACAAATAAACAAACAAATTTCTTAAGAAATTTATATACATTTTTTACAAATGATCATCACAATAAACTTCAGTGAGAATGTCAGTTCAAGAATTCTATGATTGAAATATATTCAAATGCAAAGATCATTATTTCAAAACAACTACTTTGTCAAGAAGAATATTGGAAAAGTCTTCTGTCTATTTTTCAGTATACACGTTTTTTTTTTTTAAATTAGAAAGAAAGGTATTGTGTACCCATCTTTACATCCCAGATCAAGTCTTAACATTTTTATGTCACAATGTTTTCTGTTAAACTGAAAGCGTTCTATTTTCACCTTCATAAAAAGAAAATCAGATGAAGTGAACTTTACACACTATGCTCTGACCAATTTTGAAATTAGGTATATTTTCTAATAAATGGTCAAAACATTATGATATACCACAGCATTATGAAAGATAAGTTATGACATTTCTCCACTCCAGTTTGATATCAAAATTTTATGAACGCAGTAATTCCCAAAATTCATTTGTTTGTTTGAAATCATCTGTCCAAAAAGTCATTTGTTTGTTTGAAATCATCTTTCCCAAAAGTCATTGTTTGAAATCATCTTTCCCAAAAGTCATTGTTTGAAATCATCTTTCCCAAAAGTCATTGTTTGAAATCATCTTTCCCAAAAGTCATTTGTTTGTTTGAAATCATCTTTCAACAGTGAAAAAAAAGTTGTATCTCAGGTGATACAGTGGAAGAGGAAGCATCTGTTTCTTCATGATTTCAAAATGTATGACATCATCATACAAGCTTGTCCAAAGAACTCCAGAGAACACAAAAACTGCATATATATAAGAAAAAAATCTAACAAACAAAAATAGGTAAAATTCAGCCAATAGTTGAGAAAAAAGTTTATAGAAAGAAAGAGTTTCATCTCTTATCATTTAATTGTCTACATTAAGTAGTACTAGAAAAAATATATAATTGACCCTCATAATTTTTTTTCCATCCTCTTTTCCAGACTTTTTCTCACAAATTAATTGTAATAGTATTGTAATGTATTTGATTTCCAACAGTAAAAATGGTGAAATATATTTTTTTTTTTACCAATAGCAACATTCTACATTCTTGCCATAAAATATTGAAAAAACAGTCATTAAAATGTCACACATGTCTGAACAAATTTGGTCTAAAGTATAATTTCAATAACTTTTCTGACACATTGACTTTTATCTCAAGATCAAAAGAAATTGAAGGAAGCTTTACCCCTCATTTGTTTGTAAAATTGCATCAGAGTTAGTGTGATCTATTTCAATAATTTCTGAACCTTTGTTCGGTATATGGATATGAAAATACGAATTGTCAAACAGAAAAAAAGTCCATAAAACAATCTTGATATTTATCCATTTTTAAGGCTATACTATTCTTCAGTTCAGCCATCCAAAAATGATTCCCCCCCCCCCCTTTTTTTTCAAATTTTAAAAATTTTGCTGCTTAAATCTCATTATAGATACCAGGATTACAATTTTGTATGCCAGATGTGTGTTTTTTCTACAAAAGAATCATCAGTGACGCTTAAATCAAAAAATTTCAAGGTAATCTATTCCTAACCAAACTCCTAAATTTGGAGTTCTAAATCTAACAATTTCAAGTTCCAAACATACCATGTCTTCTGAGAAAGGAAAACATTCTTAAGATCAGTCAGAAACAAGAATTCCAAACAAATCAAATGAAGATTCATAAAGTTGACCGATGACATGCTGCCATCAATTAAGTCACCAAATAGAAGAAAAAATAGACAGTTTAAAGTTTTTTGTATTGAAAACACTCATTATTGAATAAGGCAGCTCAAAAATGTAAACACACAACAGTACATTTTTAAGCTCAAGTTTTAAAACTCCACAAAGCCCGACTCACACCATCACTTACCATCATCTTGGAACATACTTATAGTTTTCTGTTTTTGAACTGGTTTTCTGAAATCTTTCATCATAAAAAAAAAAAAAAAAAATCATATCTAATTATCTCCCCTTTCTCTAACAATTTTTTTTTCTAATCAATTAATCTTTGAAGATATTCATGGAAAAGGACAAGTCTAAAATTTGTTTACAAGTTCTATAAAGACAGGTCAATTTCTATAATTCTGGTAGTGTGCTGATTGGATCAAAGGAATCAATGATAAATAAAACCATTAAAACTTTATATCCCTTTTAAATATCTGTGGGAGGGCAGGAGGGGAATTACTATTTTTTTTACATATCATTTATGGCCTATGTCCATTTGATGCATACAATGTTACTTGAAGAAAGCATGTTGGGAAATAGGGGGGATGGAAAGATTCTTTCCACCTTCCTATATTCATTGTAATGGAATAGCCCAATTAAACCCATTTTTTTTTTCTGCAAGACATAAAAAACTGCTTACAACATTTTCAATGATTTTCAAACAAATTTACCATGTAAACAAAGAAAAAAGTTAGGCACACAATATCTCTAGATCAGTGAGAATTAAGATAAAAATTAAGATAACCAATAAATCACGAATGAATTACAGAGAATAGCTTGAATATGGCATGGTGCCATTAGTTACAAGTCATCAAGAATAGTTCAAAGTTTATTTCACTGAAAAATCAAGAATAAGCCAGCTCAAAAATGTATACGAACACTAGTACATTTTAAAGCCTTAGTTCTAAAACCCCATTAAGCCAGAACTCACACTTTCACTTACCACCATCTTCTTGCAACATTTTTAAAGTTTTCTTATTTTGAACTGGTTTTCTGAAATCTTTCACCATATAAAAAAAAATTATTATATTTGATTATCTCCCCTTTTCTACAAACTTTTTTATAAATTGATGGTTGCTAAATGTCCAGTGGCCAATATTTCATGCATGTTCAGGACAAACATGCTTTTTTATATTTTCAAAGTTGTTTAGAAAAAAGCAATAAACAGCTGCGCCATGAGCGCATGATACGCCCGTTGTCTTGTGTGTGAATTTTTATGCAATAAGCATAAATAGTTTCTGACATACGGCGTGATGCAAAAACCCCTTTTTTTTTTTTACAAAAAACTCAATATCTATAAAATAAAATTTTGAATCAAAACCAAAAAGTATACAGATCTTTAGATTAATATAACTAAGAAGTGTGTAAAATTTTAAGCAATAATCATAAATCGTTTTTGAGATACGGCGCGACATGTGAAAACACCCCTTTTAAAAAAAACAAGGGTGCACACGCTGAAATGTCTCGCCTTCTTTACTAATCATTGATATTATGTTGATAGTCCTAAATATAAAGCTTTATTACAACTGTCACATAAACTTAACATTAACCAAGTAAACTAAACATTGACCAATGAACCATGAAAATGAGGTCAAGGTCAGATGAACCATGCTAGGCAGGCATGTACAGTTAACAATTCTTCCATACAACAAATAGAGTTGACCTATTGCTTATAGTTTAAGAAAAACAGACCAAAACACAAAAACTTAACACTGAGCAATGAACCTTGAAAATGAGGTCAAGGTCAAATAAAACCTGCGTGACTGCCAAATAGATCATAAAATATTTCCATACACCAAATATAGTTGAACTATTGCATACAGTATAAGAAAAACAGACCAAAACACAAAAACTTAACTATAACCACTGAACCATGAAAATGAGGTCAAGGTCAGATGACACCTGCCAGTTGGACATGTACACCTTACAGTCCTTCCATACACCAAATATACTAGACCTATTTCTTATAGTATCTGAGATATGGACTTGACCACCAAAACTTAACCTTGTTCATTGATCCATGAAATGAGGTCGAGGTCAAGTGAAAACTGTCTGACGGGCATGAGGACCTTGCAAGGTACGCACATACCAAATATAGTTGAACTATTGCACATAGTATTAGAAAAAAAAGACCAAACTCAAAAACTTAACTTTGACCACTGAACCATGAAAATGAGGTCAAGGTCAAATGACACCTGCCCGCTAGACATGTACACCTTACAATCATTCCATACACCAAATATAGTAGACCTATGGCATACAGTATAAGAAAAACAGACCAAAACACAAAAACTTAACTATAACCACTGAACCATGAAAATGAGGTCAAGGTCAGATGACACCTGCCAGTTGGACATGTACACCTTACAGTCCTTCCATACACCGAATATACTAGACCTATTGCTTATAGTATCTGAGATATGGACTTGACCACCAAAACTTAACCTTGTTCACTGATCCATGAAATGAGGTCGAGGTCAAGTGAAAACTGTCTGACGGGCATGAGGACCTTGCAAGGTACGCACATACCAAATATAGTTATCTTATTACTTATAATAAGAGAGAATCTAACATTACAAAAAATCTTAACTTTTTTTTCAAGTAGTCACTGAACCATGAAAATGAGGTCAAGGACATTGGACATGTGACTGACGGAAACTTTGTAACATGTCGCATCCATATACAAAGTATGAAGCATCCAGACCTTCCACCTTCTAAAATATAAAGCTTTTAAGAAGTTAGCTAACGCCGCCGCCGCCGCCGGATCGCTATCCCTATGTCGAGCTTTCTGCGACAAAAGTCGCAGGCTCGACAAAAATCAATATCTCAAAAATAAAATTTTGAATCAAAACCAAAAAGTATACAGATCTTTAGATTAATATAACTAAGAAGTGTGTAAAATTTTAAGCAATAATCATAAATCATTTTTGAGATATGGCGCGACATGTGAAAAACCCCATCCCCTTTTTTTACAAAATACTCAATAACTCAAAAATAAAATTTTGAATCATCACCAAAAAGTATACAGATCTTAAGGTTAATATAACTAAGAAGTGTGTAAAGTTTTAAGCAATAATCATAAATTGTTTTTGAGATACGGCGCGACATGTGAAAAAAAACACACACCTGTTTTAGTTAATAAGTCCCCTAACTCAAAAAGTTTTAATCTTATTTTCACCAAAAAGTATACAGATCGTTTGACCATCATAAGAAACAACTATGTTAAGTTTCATGAAATTTGGATAAGTCATTCTAGAGTTACGGTGCGACATGTTTACGCAGGACAGACAGACGGACAGACAGACGGACGGACACCGGACATTTGTATAACATAATACGTCCCGTCAAAAAATTGATATGTGTATAACGCCAGCCTGAGGGTAATTCTTTATCTGATCTAAAAGATTAAAGACTTTACTCAAGAGAACAAAACTATTGGGTGGAAGCAAGACAATCCATTTTACTGCAAGAGGCAAACAACTACAAAAACACACAGAAAAATTATCCACCATCTAAATTGTTTTTCACCTGCTGTTGTAAATTACACAATATTCACAAATCTTAAAATATTAAGATATTGAAATTCAGAAAATCATTCAATTTATGTGAATATTCCAGTTATTCCAGCAGGTGAAAAACAGTTTAGTTGTTGGATAAATTTTCTGTGTTTTTTTTCCTAAATCCTGTATTTCACTCCAATGCAAGCAGTCACAAATATTTGAAATTCTATTTGTCAAATTTAAAAACCAACAAAACTGGCCACTTTTTCTCAAAAGCTGGTATAACTTTCAAAACTTTTTAAAATTAAAGAAGATGTGTTAACAGCTACTTTTGGCCCATAAATTTGAACATGGTAAGTGATCTTTCAGAAATTCAAAAATTTAATCTATCAATACAGATGTAAGAGGAATCATATGTTTTATTTTTCTTCTATTTACTGTTACATGCCTGTGTTTATATAAGAGTCAAACCTGGATAAGACAAAGTCAAAGCGACCTAACATAATTGTTTGACTTATCCAAGGTTCAAGTCATATGAGGTTGTGAGTATCAACATGTTTTCTCACTTCAAAATACCACTTTGTATCATTGATCTGTTGTGTGAAAGCAGCAGACTTGTTTTATATAAAAATCAATCTTCATCGGTAATACTTGTAGTACTGTAAATTCAGAAATTATTGCGTGCATTTATTATTGCGATTTTTTAAGAACATGAAGAATGGACAAAAATGCAAGATTAATTATCGCGTTCATGGAAAATCTCTATATAGATGTATGTTTCAGATATCAAAATGTGAGTTTTTATTATTGCGATACTCACACAGTTGCACTATTCACATTAATAAAAACCTCGCAATAATTTCTGAATTTACAGTATTTAAACAATCATCTATTCTATAAACACTAGCCAAAATAAAGTCACTAGGATGTTGGAACCAGTTTTTTTTTATGAAGGCATTACTTACAATTATCAAAATTCCTTGCCTCTTCCTCAGCTTCAGCTTCACCACCGGTCCTTTTATTCCTATTCTTCATCTTTTCGAGCATCTCCATTTGTTTTTGTCTTCGTCTCTCTGCTTCTTCTTGTCTCCGTAATTCTTCTTCATAAGATGTATCCCGTTTGAACTGTCTCTGTTTCTTCAGTTTTTGTTCAAGTTTAAGTATTGGTTTTAATATAGATTTGTTTTTTGTTGAAGATTTTGAGTCTTTACATTTATAAAGCGAAGGATCAGGTAATGGTGGCTCATCAAGTTCAACAACAGGAAGTGCTGGCTCTTCAACTATAATGTTAAAAAAAAAAAAAATTTCATGTCAGTCATTTATATCGCTATCTGACAATATATATAAATATGACACATACATCTATCCAGGGTACCTGATGGATATTATTCCTAAATCAAGTGTTGTGAGCAAAGAAATATATCATTGTTTTTTTTATTACCCTTTCTAGTAACGATGGTGGAGGACTACCATTCTCCAATGGTACAATCAGCCCATTTGATAGAGCTTCAGTAAAGGTATGATTTAAAAGCAATAAAAGCAACACTAAGGAAAAATATGTTGCGTTTCCTGTTTAGAACATGAAAAATGAGTAGAGATGATTGGATAGAATTCTCACATAACATTTTTAATTTGAACTAAAACATATTTTTTATGTGGGTAGTATTATAAAATTATAAAAATTCAATATTTTTTTTTTAAGAATGTCTTGCTTTAAAAAGTTGCAAAAAGATGGAATGTTAACTTTTGTAATTGGCAAATCCAATAGCTGACATTGAGGCATTATAATGGGGCTATATAAACATTCGGTTTGGTCAAATTTTACCAATAGGTGTCTCTTCTATTTCTGCTTCTTCTAATTCAGGTGTCAAAGATTTTTCTTCCTCTAATTCAGGAGTTGGTGTAGAGTCTTGCCTTTCTACTTTAGGTTTGACTTTTGGAACAAAAACTTTCTTAACCACTGTTCTCCTTTTAGGCTGTGGTGAGGGACTTTCTTCTGGCTATAAAATATCAAATTCATAAAAAATAAACCAGGAAAGGAATTTTAGTTTTCTAATCAAACCATTGAGTGCAATAACATAAATAACTTGCCAATATATAAAGTCTTTATGCAAATTGATAATTTAAAAAAAACTGTGAAATTAAAAATTAAATTAAATTAGAATACTTTGCAATTCATTTACTTACATACTCTCCATGCTTACATAATTTCTACCAAGACATTTCACATGAAAAATGCAGAAATATTTATTATATAAAAAAGAAGATGGGGTATGATTGCCAATGAGACAACTCTCCACAAGAGACCAAATGACACAGAAATTAACATTATAGGTCACAGTACGGCCTTCAACAATGAGCAAAGCCCATACTGCATATAATGTTTATATTTTCTAATGCTTGTAGTTTGACTCCTGATTTTAATTGACCAGAATAGCCAGTTTTCTTCCACCAAAAAAAATTGCTGCTACAATACAGCCAAGAATGCAGCAGACAGTGGTGTTAAACACCAACCATCAATCAATCAAATACATGTATCTCAAAAACAAGCAATCGGACATATATTTATTTCACAAAATTTTTGTTGTATTAAAATTCTCTTTTCCCAATATTTTAATTCTATCAGCCAACAAACATATATAAGTTCTCTATTGTAGCCCCAAAATTGTATCCAATTACTAAATCCTCCTGAACTTTTCTTTTTTTTTTTCGGAAATTGAAAAATATAAATTTTTAGAATCCTTAATACTTGCCAAGGAATAATGACCACTATAACTTACCTGTGAAGTTTTGTCAGCTGAGACAGTGAGTGACAGGGGACCAGTCTTTGTATCTTCTATGGTAGCTACAGAATGAGTTGTGTCCTCACTAATTAGAGTACCAGTTTCATCCAAATCTTGTTCTGTAATGAGAAATTAAGACTATATTTAGTCAAATTATTTTTACCATCAAACAATACAAACAATAAAATCAAAATATAGATAGCTGAAACTTCTTTTTTATATATATATATACAAAAGAAATATTAGTTATAAAAGAAAAAATCCAGTACTTATAAAGTTCAATCACCATACAAAGGTATTAAAAAATAACATCTGAATTCAAACTTTCAAATATAAAAGTTCCAATGTGATTTTAATTAAAAGCAGTATAATTAACAAACTACTCAAAAACGTCCATAAAAAATATCTTTTTTAAAATCATATACCTTGTATTCGCTCTGTGTAATTATAATAAAATACAACATAACAATTAAGACTAAAAATAATTCTACCCAGGAGACAAACTTTTAAACTGAAAATTCATTTATCTACTTGAGCTGGTACAAATGTAATTAAATGGTTATAAGGCGTTTAAGAAAGAAGACACAATATCCAAATCTTACAAATCTTATTTGACAAGAGAAATAATATTTTGTTTTCGATTAACCACTGATTTAGGATCAAAATCTATCCTTTTACTATCTGATATAAAAAACAACAAAATATCTAAATATTTATTCAAACGAAATTTAAATTATAGAAAATATAGACAATTCATGCAACACTCACTTCATAGTTTTTATTTCAGATTATTAAAAACAAACAAACAATCGTCATATACAAATAGTCTTTATATATATTTGTGGAACAATTATTTAATATATGAAGTGTGGATTGAAATTAGGTAATTACTACTATATAACAGGGTAAAATACAAGTTTAATAACTGGTTAGCTTTTTAAAGAATCTTCAATCAAAAGTAATCATCCAAATGTTTAAAAAAAAGTGTGATTTCTAATAATTGACCATTTGGTCTTCAGTTTATAATTCTGGAGGATTTCAAGAGTCAAGTCATAGGTCTCATGGGAGAAACCATCCAATAAATTGGCAGGTTTGGAAACAGGAAACATCTACATTGGATGGATAACTTTGGAAGCTCATTTAACACACATTATATTGCCCATTTTTACATGAAGCATTGTGGGGGTAAAAAAGACAGTAAACTTGATAAAAGGAAATACATCACAATTTTGCCTGACAGAGGGTACACTGCATTTTATTAATTCTTTTTCATAAGATTTAAATCTTAATAGATTGCATTATGGTAAAGGCAAATCACAAATTACTTAATCAACAAAATATTTTAAAAAAATACAAATAAATGAAAACAACTTTTTCATAAATGTTATAGGATAGGTACAAAACCCCTAAACAGACTTAGACCAGTGGTTTTCCTGTTTGAATTGTTTTAACTTTTTATACATTGTGACTTGGATGGCGAGTTGTCTCAATGGCACTCATACCACATCTTCTTATTCATACTATCTGTTTTCTTAGCCTGATCATTTAGAAACCTAAAATATGAAATTGAGTGTAAAGTCATCTGGTAACCTAAAAATTCTCTATTTTTCAGGTTATTGAGTGTATAAGTCTTTAATAGGAAATTTAAAAGATGCCACAAATATAACTTGCTTGTATTAAATGGATGCATACAAATATAATATTTATCCCTCAATTATTTAAAAGCTGAGCTAAAAAATAATTTGTAAACTGTACTAATACATATTTATCTAAACTTAATAAAAAAACAGATTAAACAACGCATACACAAAAAGATATACATGTATATACATAGTAACAACAAACAGTTCCCAGCAGGCTCTATACATCACATTACAGAGATCATGACAACATTGGTGATTTACCTCCCTTTACCAACACTTCCTTCAGACATGGCATGGAAACATGTTCATGTATGTTTGGTGGTTTATTTTGGTCCACATAAACACACTCTTCAGGTTTTTCCACAGGAAGTTCCAGAATTCTGACTCTTTTTTTCACTTTTGGCTCTGAGAGAGAATTTTTCTCCAAAGATTTTATATTATTTCTAAAAGAATTATCTATCTTTTTTCCATTTTGAAAATTGTCTAACTGACCAGCGACATGTACAGAATTTGCATTTTCCACAAATTTTGCTAAACGGAATTGTGTGCTATCATCTTTTTCAGCAATGGAAGTTACCTCTTCATTTTCATCTATACTTGAATGAACTTTAAAGTCATTAACAAAAGTTATTTGTGTGGCTTCAAGGTCACTGATCTTGTTCGTCTTGACCTTTGGATACTTTGGGTATTTTACCGTCTTGAATGATCCCTCAGTTTCCAGTGTAGGCAAGCATATAACAACTAAATTATTCAAATATGTATATGTATGTAATGATTACAGAACAAAACATATTGCCTCTATAATTGCTTAATAACTGTTCACAACAAGAGTGCACACGCTGAAATGTCTCGCCTTCTTTACTAATCATTGATATTATGTTGATAGTCCTAAATATAAAGCTTTATTACAACTGTCACATAAACTTAACATTAACCAAGAAAACTAAACACTGACCAATGAACCATGAAAATGAGGTCAAGGTCAGATGAACCATGCTAGGCAGACATGTACAGTTAACAATTCTTCCATATAACAAATATAGTTGACCTATTGCTTATAGTTTAAGAAAAACAGACCAAAACACAAAAACTTAACACTGAGCAATGAACCGTGAAAATGAGGTCAAGGTCATATAAAACCTGCGCGACTGACATATAGATCATAAAATATTTCCATACACCAAATATAGTTGACCTATTGCATATAGTATTAGAAAAAAAGACCAAAACTCAAAAACTGAACTTTGACCACTGAACCATGAAAATGAGGTCAAGGTCAGATGACACCTGCCAGCTAGACATGTACACCTTACAATCATTCCATACACCAAATATAGCAGACCTATTGCATACAGTATAAGAAAAACAGACCAAAACACAAAAACTTAACTATAACCACTGAACCATGAAAATGAGGTCAAGGTCAGATGACACCTGCCAGTTGGACATGTACACCTTACAGTCCTTCCATACACCGAATATACTAGACCTATTGCTTACAGTATCTGAGATATGGACTTGACCACCAAAACTTAACCTTGTTCACTGATCCATGAAATGAGGTCGAGGTCAAGTGAAAACTGTCTGACGGGCATGAGGAATTTAACATTACAAAAAATGTTAACTTTTTTTTCAAGTAGTCACTGAACCATGAAAATGAGGTCAAGGACATTGGACATGTGACTGACGGAAACTTCGTAACATGAGGCATCCATATACAAAGTATGAAGCATCCAGGTCTTCTACCTTCTAAAATATAAAGCTTTTAAGAAGTTAGCTAACGCCGCCGCCGGATCACTATCCCTATGTCGAGCTTTCTGCGACAAAAGTCACAGGCTCGACAAAAACTCAAGTTTTGCCTAATTTCAAACAAGCTATTTGATATAGATCAAGGTCTTTACAATTTTATTTTTTTTTTTTACATGTATTCAATTTTATTCACACACTACTCTAAAGAGCCTGTATCGCTCACCTTGGTCTATGTCCATATTCAACAAAGGACACTCTCCAACATTGTAGACGAGAATAGAATTCATGACAAAAATCTCTGTTTTGTTTATCTTGTATCAATGATCATTTAGTCTGTTTAGCTTCTCTCTATCTTCTATAGTTTTTGCTCAAAACACAAAATAGGGTTAAAAAAAATCCTCTTTTAAGGGCAATCACTCTTATAAAGAGTGACAGTCCAATAACAATATCAGCAAAATTTGACTTGTTAGTAGATCTTGCCCTGCTGATCATTTATATTATTTAAAGTGTCTATTATGATTTTTATCATATAAGGCAAAACGCAATAATTTTTGTAAAAATCGTCATTAAAGGGCAATAACTCCAATAAGGAGTCAATGGACAATTTCTTCCATATTGTCATAATTGTAAATCTTGTCTTGCTGATCATTTTTGCCTATTTAAGTTTCTATCTATCTATTATAATTTTTAAGATATAAGGCAAAAACGCAAAAAAAAATGGTAAAAAATCGTCATCAAAGGACAATAACTCTAAAAACGGAGTCGACTGACGATTACGACCATGGACACTTATTTGTAGATCTGGTCTTGCTGATCATTTTTGCACTTAAAGTTTCTCTCTATCTATTATAGTTTTCAAGCTAATAGGCAAAAATGAAATTTTAAGGGCAATAACTCCTATAAAAAGTTGTCTGACAGTTATATAGACAATTGGTAGAGCTCAACATTTTGGACATTAATGCTCCAGTCAGATTTTCTCTATTAATAACTGTTTTCAAAATAATAGACAAAACTTGCATTTTACCCCTATGTTCTATTTCTAGCCCTTGGCCATCTTGGTCTGCAGGCGGGGTCATCGTCCTTCATACACATTTTTTAAACTAGATACCCAATGATGATTGTGGCAAAGTTTGGTTAAATTTGGCCCAGTAGTTTCAGAGGAGAAAATTTTTGTAAAAGTTAACAGACAACAATGGAAGCCACGAGATGAGAAAAGCTCACTTGGCCCTTTACGCCAGGTGAGCTAAAAAACTGTTAACAAAATAAATATATATATATTGATTACAGACATTTATGATCAAACAATTTGCCTGGTTATTCTAACAATTAACTAGAGGCTCTCAAGAACCTGTGTTGCTCACCTGATTTTACTTTGGTTTTAGAAATCATGTAAAAATAGATTAAAATCATAACAGATACCCTAATAATGATTGAGGCCAAAAATTTGGTTTAATATTGGCCCCGTAATTTAATCAAAAGCAGAAGACTTTTGTAAAATTTTACAGAAATTACCAATAAATTCATTGAAATTGTGGAAAATGACTTTATAAGGACAATAACTCCAACAAGATGTCAATTGACAATTTTGCTCATGTTGACTTATGTGTAGATCTTCTTTTCTTGATATTTTTGCAGTTTACAGTAGATCTCAATCTATAAAGTTACATGTATTAAGGTCTTCATCAGCACCTCAAGGAACATTTATGCCATGTTTGGTTTCATTCCATTCAGTGCTTCTCTAGAAGAAGCATTTATATGTATTTCCCATAGGGTCTTATGTTAAACTAAGTCCCCTGCTGGTGGCCATCTTGGATGATGGATCAGCTTCAAAGTAACAACACTTGGTCAGTACCTCATTAGGAAATGCATGCCAAGTTTGGTTTCATTCTATTCAGTGGTTCTCTAGAAGAAAACTTTTGTATGTATTTCCCATAGGGTCCTGTTAAACTTACTCCCCCTGCTAGCAGCCATCTTGGATGACAAATCAGCTACAAAGTAACAACACTTAGTCAGCACCTCAAAAGAAACATTCATACAATGTCTGGTTTCAATCCAATAAGCTGTTTTCTAAAAGAAGACATTTGTATGTATTTCCCATAGGGTCCTATGTAAAACTAAGTCCCTGCTGGAGGCCATCTTGGATGATGGATCGTTTACAAAGTTACAACACTTGGTCAGCACCTCATAAGGAACATTCGTGTCATGCTTTATTTCATTCCATTTAGTGGTTCTGTAAAAGAAGACATTTGTATGTATTTCCAATAGAGTCCTATGTTAAACTAAGTCCCTCTCTGGCGGCCATCTTGGATGATGTATTTGCTACACAGTAGCAACACTTGGTCAGCACCTCATCAGGAACATTCATGCCATCTTTGGTTTCATTCCATTCAGTGGTTCTCTAAAAGAAGACATTTGTATGTATTGTCCATAGGGTCCTATGTTAAATGAAGTCTCCCGTTGGCGGCCATCTTGGATGATGGATCGGCTACAAAGTTACAACACTTGGTTAGCACCTCATAAGGAAAATTCATGCCATATATTATTTCATTCCATTCAGTGCTACTCTAAAAGAAGACATTTGTATGTATTTCCCATAGGGTATTATGTTAAACTAGGTCCCTCTCTGGGGGCCATCTTGGATGATGGTTTGGCTTAAAAGTAACAGCACTTGGTCAGCACCTCATAAAGAACATTCAAGCCATGTTTGGTTTTATTCCATTCAGTGGTTCTCTAAAAGAAGACATTTGTATGTATTGTCCGTAGGGTCCTTTGTTACAAAAGTCCCCCTCTGGCGGCCATCTTAGATGATGGATTGGCTTCAAAGTAACAACACTTGGTCAGCACCTCATAAGGAACATTCATGCTATGTTTGATTTCATTCCATTTAGTGGTTCTCTAAAAGAAGACATTTGTATGTATTGCCCATAGGGTCTTATGTTAAATGAAGTCCCCCACTGGCTGCCATCATGGATGTTGACGACGATGACGATGACAGACGAACGACAATGACGGACAACGGACAGGGCCAGGTGAGCTAAAAAATAAATGACTTGATTTAAAAATTAATATCCTAAATTGTGGTGGATACTTTTTGAAACCTTGTAAAAGCGTGGTGAATTAATCAGTTATATGAAAACTTTCCTCGAATAGAACTTATCTAAAGGATAAATGGGAAATTCACATATTAATTAAAGAACCTTAGTGAGCACGCTCACATACCCCACGTCCCCACATTGTCATTGGAGAAATTAAATAAGTGTAACAAAAAAAATTGTATAAGAAAAAATATTGAATAATAATTTCCTGTCAATATGCACATCTACATAGTATGTCCTTCTTATCTACAAAATTTCATGAAATTCTGTTGTGTGGTTTCAGAAGAGTGGAGATGACAAACTGTTGCAGAAGTACATTGAAGCAAATAAGTTCAAAGGGGCGTAACTCCTAGAAAAAAAAATGAATCGTAATTTCCTGTCGATATGCACATCTACGTAGTATGTTCTTATTATCTACAAAGTTTCATGAAATTCTGTTGTGTGGTTTCAGAGGAGTTGAGATGACAAACTGTTGAAGTAGTACCTTAAAGCGTTCAAAGGGGTGTAACTCCTAGAAAAAAAATTGAATCGTAATTTCCTGTCGATATGCACATCTACATAGTATGTCCTTATTATCTAAAAAGGTTTCATGAAATTCTGTTGTGTGGTTTCAGAGGAGTTGAGATGACAAACTGTTGCAGTAGTACATTGAAGCAAATAAGTTCAAAGGGGCGTAACTCCTAGAAAAAAAATTGAATCGTAATTTCCTGTCCATATGCACAACTACATAATATGTCCTTTTTATCTAAAAAGGTTTTGTGAAATTCTGTTGTGTGGTTTGAGAGGAGTTGCGATGACAAACTGTTGCAGTAGTACATTGAAGCAAATAAGTTCAAAGGGGCATAACTCCTAGAAAAAAAATTGAATCGTAATTTCCTGTCGATATGCACAACTACATAATATGTCCTTTTTATCTAAAAAGGTTTCGTGAAATTCTGTTGTGTGGTTTGAGAGAGTTGCGATGACAAGAAACAGGACTGACGGACGGACGGACTGACAGATGGACAGACTGACGGACGGACGGGTCAAAAACATTATACCCTCCGCAACTCGTTGCGTGGGGTATAATTATAGACTGGCTAAGACAAAATAGCATAGTCTGAAACAGATTGAAAAAATCTCATTTGTGGCAAAATCAAAAAAATTGCATTTAACTTACTTTCCTCCTTGTCATGATGATCTTTATTTTTAGTTTTGACTTTTGGCACTGGTTTAGTTTTAGAACGACTTGGTCTGACTTCTTTTGGTTTTACCTCAGTATCTTTTTTGGGAGCTATAAAAAAGATCAAAAACAATTTCATTTTCTCAGACTAGTAAGGGACATAACTCTGAATACGAAATGTCAAAAACAAAACAAATGGAACCTTTTATTTTTGGTCATTGACATTGTGTCAAATTGTCAAATTCAATTTTAACTATGGACTATACACCTGGAAATCTTAATACAAAGGACTGATTTAATGTTCTAATATGATTTAAAACCAATTCAAATATTTGAACATTTTCATGTCCTTAATCTGGCACATCTTTACACAGATGGTTGCAAGATGAAGTAAAAGTGTTTTCCTTACCTTTTTTCATCTTCTTTTGTTCTGAAAATAGATTATTTTAAAATAATTAATGCAAAAAACATTTTAAGCATTTCTGTTTAACCTACACTAACTTGAATAGTTCCAGTAATTTCTTTAAATATTAAACTTTCAGGAGAAAAATAATTTATATAAATAGAATATATTTTATTGTTTTAAATATCATTATATAAATGTATTTGCAAATTGCATTATAGTTTTATTAGTGAGCAAAGAAAATGCAAATAAGAACACAAAAGTATTAGAGTTATTTCCCCTTCCATAGTAGCCATATAAAATTGTTAATACATGTAATTTAAATCTTTGCGCATTTAATATGGATTAGTTGCGATTAAACTGGATATAAAAGCAAGGTTTGATATTTTCAAAGCCAAAAATCCTTATCTTCAAGAAATGAAAAACCTTTCAAGCCTATTTTACCTATTTTTCTGCTCAAGTATTCAAGAATTTTCGACACTTACCGTTTACCTGATCCAACCATCTGACTGATTGAAGTGAAAAAAATAAACTTTATTAAATTGTAATATAATATGGCTGTTTAAAGAAAACTTAATTTTTTTCTATAACATGCTTTCTATACAATTTGCATGTTTCCTGTTTTAGAAATGAATTTCTGCATGCTGATAGTAAAAATCTATTTGTTTTTCAATGTATCAATTTCTAAATAACAAATACAGGAAAATTTCAAATGGTTTTCTTTCTAAATTATGAGGGTTTTCCTATTAAATAAACCTGCTTAGGACCCGAAATTCTTCACATTATCTAAAATTTCTGGTTCTAGAAGATTTCATTCTCTCTAAAGAATACGAGTACCCTGAAAACGTATTTATGGAAATTTTCAAACCCTCATAGATATCTAGTAAAATATTTCAATTCATGAGGTACAAACAGAAAATTAAATGTTATAAATTACATACAATCAAAAGTAAAACTTTATGATATATCTAGAAAAGAATACAAAAGGATTTCATCACTACAAACAACAGCAATGTTTCGCGAGAATAAACAAAAGTAGACATGCTGATATGGATCACCTACTAAAATCAGGATTCTATGAAAAGGACATAAACATTAGATCCAAATGATTTTCTTTTGTTTAATCTTGGTGAAGGGTGCCTTCAGATAGAACTAAATACATGTAGGTTAACAAAGGAAAAAATATAAAGGAACATTAGGATAGATGTCACAGTATTCATATATGGGTTCAAAACACATAGATATATTGAATTATGAATTAGGATTATTTAGCTGGAACACTTGACACACAACAGCAACTTTTCACCAGCAATTATTTTTAAGCAGAGTAGTGCAATGGTGTATAAAACAAATGTCCACTGATCAGAAACCTGCACCAGAATGAACATTAGTTTTGCAAAAATATACAAAAGCATTGCATATTTTAATTGTATGAATTATATTTTACACCTGTATTACATAATATTTAGACAACACACAGTGAGAAAATACAGTGGGGAACACACATATGACAAGTGTTACACCAAACAACACCAAGTATGGACTGTGGTTACCTCCCTTTGGTTTGGCTGCAGGCTGTGAAGGCAAGCTTTTACCAGCTTTTGAGAGAGGCATAATGGGAAGTTTAGTAGAAGGAGTTTTACTACTATCAATCTCCTTTTTTTCTTCCACCACCTCCTCCTCCTCTTCCTCCTCCTCAATTATTTCACTTTCCTGCATTATTTGAACTTGAGGAGGTTTGACAACCTCAACTGGTACTATCACAACTTAAAATGGTTAAAATAACTGTTTTTCACTGAGAAATCAAATTAAATATTTAAGAAATACAAGGAGATAAACATTATTATGAAGCAATTCAGAGATATATAGATTCCACCACTGCAGCAAGTGTGTTACGATTTTTCTCCACTCGAGACAGTTAAATTTTAATATTTAAAGCGTGAGGCTTGCAAAGCTTTTTAAATAATTCAAATTTAACTGTTGAGAGTGGAGAAGTATTGTAATACACAAGTTATAGTGGTGAAATCTGTTTCTCTAACTATTTTTATCCTTCCTTTTCAAAGATTTACAGAAAGTTGTGTTCTTTATATGTAACGTCATCAGACATGGTCGCTTTTTTTCATGACATCACAATAGGAAATTCAGAAGAAACCAAGAAAATTTGAGGTCATAATTAAACTTCGACCAATCATTTGCCGAGAACAGATATTTCACTAGTGAGGAGAAATATTTTTCTCACACCGATCAAGAAATGTGAAAATAGCACAAAATTCAGAGATGGCTTTGGTAAGAGAATATTACTGTTTTGGATGTTCAAATTGACCCAAAACATCATTCACAAAGACATGACAGAGCAATGTTATGTTAAAGGACAAAAGTTACACCTATTACCCCTATACATAAGATCATTCATCCCGTTAAATGAACAATCAAAACAAAGACGATTATAAATTATTTCCAACAGTAAATTTTGGCTGTCTTTACTTTCAGATTAAGTAAGTTCACGAAGGGTCAATCAATATCAGTTCTAAATTCCAAAAAATAAAAACTTAGTAATTTATGAAAAATGTGTAAATGTATCTGGCATTTAAAAAAATAGCAAATGACATCATAGTAATGTCATAAATGCACTCATTCATTGTAAATTTATAGGCGAGACTATTTTTTCCTACATATGAATAGTTTTTGCTTCAATTGGTAGTCATGGACCCACATACTTTTTTGTGAGAAAGTATACCAAACCCAAATGATCTTTCTGTTGCAAAAAAGTATGTTTGATAAGGCCACAATATGGCCCCTATATCAGCAAAGCTTTCAAAATTATGTCTTTATGTTCATTATTAATATGTATCATAGAGAAAACAATGACAAGATAGGAAATAGTTTTTCCCCCCATATTTTTCAAGTTCTGTCTTACCTTGTTTTTCTTTCTTCTTCTTGGCTTCCAATTCAGCCAGCAATCTTTTTGCATTCTCTCTATCTAATTCTGATTGTGATTTCTCTAATGGCTTGGACTCTTCGTTCACTTCTGAAAAATACAACATACATTCATACAAAATAACATACTACATCTACTTACTTTAACATATTATTAGTAATTAAGTAAAGCAAAAATCAATTACTGTAAATTCAGAAATTATTGTGTGCATTTATTATTGCGATTTTGTCATTTTAGACTAAAATGCGATTTTAATTTTTGTGATATTGAGAAAAATCCTGTTTAATTCATATAAAAAATTTTAAAATGCGAGTTTAAATTATTGCGATTATAACCCTGTCGCATTTTTCGCAATAATAAAAACATTGCAATAATTTCTGAATTTACAGTAACCAAGTTTCTATGCCACAAAATATGTTCCTGCTGAGTGAGTTTGATTTTCAGAATTTTTATTCATATTTCAATTTGCTTTTTGTCCACTTTTGATGGGCAACTTATTGTAATCCTGTCAGTCAGTCAATAAAATTTTGAACAATAATTCTTTCACATGGTCAATTTAATTAAATTTCTTTACTCTCCAAATTTATGTTTATTCTATATGGTTTTCTACAGTACTTAATATAAGTTATCAACATATAGTATAGGAGCAACATGATGGGTGGCAATAGTGGAGCAGGATCTATTTTCCCTTCCTGAGAATAGTGTTTGTTGGGGTTGATGTTGCTCAATCTTAACTTTTCTATGTAGTGTTTTGTGAACTTGTTTGTCTTTGTCTTGTACCTTTTTTGCCATGGTATTGTCAGTTCATCTCAACTTATGAGTTTTGAATGTAATTGTTCCCCTTGGTATCTACTGCCTCTATTCTATTCATTTATCCATCTGACATTTTTTTCTTCAAACCAGTGTATCAGGCTTGTAAAGGGATAGTTAATTCAAATGGAATTGATACAGTTTCTCATTATATTGCTAATTTTGTTATCCTGACATGTCTTACATCAGGATGAGATTGTTGAACAAATGCATGGCTACAATGCTCGTTTTTAAGAAAAATGAGGCTCAAAATTGGATTTTTTTTTTTTAATTTGCTGAAATTTCCGGACAACTTTTTAAAACTTATGTTTTAAGCGAAAGGTAAATTGAATAACTGAGCTTTTACAGAGAATGTCAAATTTGTTATCTCCCTTCTTGAAAGGTCTGTCATAAAGATAAACATCAACATCTCTTAAAATCTCTTTGAAATAATTTCCTTAAAATAGATCAATTGTAAATACCAAATATTCATATAAAAATAAATGTCAAAATAACTTTTTAAAAAACTGGACATCTATTTGAAACAAAACAATTGAAAGTATTCAAATATCAAAAATCAGATTATCTTGAGAAATGTTGAAGAGCATCTATATAAATAGGTCACAGTCACCTACTATCGGAGATCAGGTTCTCCATCGATATTGCATTATTAATATCAGTGTCTTTATGATCACTGAAATTAATAATGCAAATACCCATGGAGAAACAAGGTCTTTGTTTTTCCTTTTATAACAGTTACAGATTAAAAAAATTGAATGTTTTTTAGAAACTAACCATGTACATAGGGCAAGATTGTAACGTACAAAATATCTTATATTCATTTTTAAGATTGTAGATTAGCAAAGTGTTTATAACAAATAAGGTTTAAAATACTACCACTAGATAACAAACTTTTTACGGGAAGGTAACTGTAGTTTTTATCAAAATATTGTTACAAAAAATTAGGTTCCCAGTGACACAGGATTAACATATGTTAAAGATGCTAAACACAGAACAAGTTCTACCGTCTTTTTTTTAATATAACAAGACTGTGTTCATTACGGACACAATAGATATAGGAAGATGTGGTATGAGTGCCAATGAGACAACTCTCCATCCAAGTTACAATTTATAAAAGTAAACCATTATAGGTCAAGGTACGGTCTTCAACACGGAGCATTGGCTCACACCGAACAGCAAGCTATAAAGGGCGCCAAAAAATTACTAGTGTAAAACCATTCAAACAGGAAAACCAACGGTCTAATCTACTGTAGAAACATTAATTTTCGTGGGGTTAAAATTTTGTGGTTTTGTCTCTATATAAAATTTCATGGGGATTTAATTTCGTGGTTTCCATTAAATGGAAGTGATATTATATGTAGGTTAAATTTTCGTGTGGGTTTTAATTTCGTGGATATATTCTTTCCACGAAATAAACGAAATTAAATCCTCCACGAAAATTTCTGCTTTTACAGTATATAAAAATGAGAAACGAGAAACACGTATGAACTACATAAACAGACGACAACTACTGTAATCAGATTCCTGACTTAGTACAGGTGCAAACATTTGCAGTGGGATTAAACATTTTAATGGTACCAAACCTTCTCCCTTTTCTGAAACAATAGTATAACATCACAACATAGAAAAACACACTATAAAATATCACTTGGAAGGCTTAACTCAATCCAAAAATGTAAATTAACACACAATGAATGAATAAATTTGACCTGTGACACCTAAATGCAAATACACAGTTAATAAAAAATTACAAGGGATAAATAATTAAAGTCAAAAGTAAATAAACAGGTTTAAACAAAGTTAAAGTATGATATCACTGTGAAATGTCAAACAATTTTTAGAAAATCATCACTTTTGAAGAAACCTGCGTCATGCATGTCTTGCCACATTATCACATTTTGTGTTCAGTGAATTGTGACAACATATATTGTGTGTTCTTAGTTTGAAGTTGATGTTTATGTTATCATGACTTGATGGTATTAATTACCTTGAACAAGAACTGGAAACTGATAATTTACTATTAAATTTCACACTGTAATATTTCTATATATCAGTGGACCATGAAATTGAGATAAAAAAATTACATCATAATAAATATGTGTACTAAATTTCAAGTTGAAATTACCACAACTTCATGGGAAACTATCTTAACCAAAAACTCTGTTACTTGATAGAATAACCGACCAACTAACAGACCAGAAAACATAACCCCCCTGTTTTGAACTTGTTGATAATAAAGTCAAGTAATGTGGCCGACTCTATAAACTCAAGAATGTCTTCAATGTTTCATACGCTTTACTTGGAGTCAATGCTAAATACAGAGACGTCGGCAAGTGACAACATTGCGGGCCTGTTGTTATGTAAAATGGTGCTAAAACATTAACCAAATAAAAGAGTATAAAATATACTGAACTGAAACTTAACTAATACACAACACCCCCTTTTCTATGCATTATAGACAAGAGTGCTGGTAAAAAAGAAACAAATGTCAGCAATGACATTGGACCATACATGCATCAAAAACCACTTAAAGAGGGATGGTACGGCAAACTCAAGAAGCATGTGAACCATGCACACCAAAACATCTACGTCCGGATCAACATACTTCAGAAAACTCCAGCCAAGACAGAAGTCAACCATATATAGGTAGCAGCTAGTGGTATCAAGATCCATGTCAAAGAAATACAAAAAAAAATCAACAACAGACTGTCAACATTCAATGAACATTTCTCTGTAAGAAGAACTTGCCGTTTAAGAATAGGCTGACCAGACTAACTATCTCCTTCAAAATCGACAGTGGTGTGTCTTAGTGGATTTTTTTTTAAATTTTAGAGTGACTTTTGGTTGCTTAATGACCTGTGGTATTGAACTTTAGCAAATACATTTGAATACTGTGGATTTTATTTATTCAAATTCTTGTATTTATTTGTTACTTATTTAAAATTCTTGTGGTTAATAAAAAATCAATAAACGTTATCTTTTCTATATATATATATATATTATGGTTGAATTATACCTGTGTCATTCTGAAAGACTATTAATAATATGTAAAGTAAATGTCTTTCCTTTGCTGTAAATAATTTTTTAAGTATTTTTGTGCTTTTTTATCAAATAAATTTTTTTCTCCTTCATAGTTTTTGACTTTTTATCTCATCAGATCATATGTAAGTTTGATATACGATATCATAGGAATAAATAAATTTACACTTGATTTACTGTAATTCTAATTTTAGGTAAATTTCATTCATCCTTTAATATTACATATTAATCACGTTTCTCCAACAAGAAATTATTTACCTGCAAATAAAAATTTCAAATGTAAAGAGAAACTTGAACACACTATAAATAATCTTTTAACACTTTTACCTTTAATCAATAAATTGTTGCATCAGTGACAGAGATGCATCATGGTTATATAATTGTTAACTCCCTTTACAAAATTGAAAAGCAATTTATATACACATTTAGCAAAAATGAAAAGCAATTTATATACACATTTAGCAAAAATTGAAAAGCAATTTATATACACATTTAGCAAAAATGAAAAGCAATTTATATACACATTTAGCAAAAATGAAAAGCAATTTATATACACATTTAGCAAAAATGAAAAGCAATTTATATACACATTTAGCAAAAATGAAAAGCAATTTATATACACATTTAGCCTGACAAAAGAAGGTATTTAACATTCATTCATAAACTAATATGTAGAACTATACAGAATTTGGGAAATATTGAGATTTTCATATAAATTGAATGTTTATTTGCTAAAAAACTGAGACAAATATTCAAATGTTTGGAATGAAACTTCATCTCAGATTTGATCTAATCATATATTTAAGAGCTCAAAACCTTTAATATAGTGGAGGCCTTGTTCCTTTGGGGATTTCATAAAATTCGATAAAATTGGCCCACATAATAAGTTTTAAGTGAACTATTCCCCAAAGGAATATTGGTCTCCGTTTTTATGCCCAACCTACGATAGTAGAGGGGCATTATGTTTTTCGGTCTGTGTGACCCCAATTTCATGGTCCACTGAACATAGAAAATGATAGTGCAAGTGGGGCATCCGTGTACTATGGACACATTCTTGTTTTATAATGACTTAAAGTCGAATTTTGTTGTGACAAAATCTTTATAACAACTTGATGAGAGAAAAATATTACGAGAAAAATGCTCAAAACTCTTCATATTTATACCTAAACTTTTTATTTAGATATTTTAAAAAATGACTGAAGGTACAACCACTTTATATAAAGAAATAAACAACCAAACAAAAAATACACTTAACAATGAAAGTTTATAAGACATTGCAGCCTAAAATGTCTTTGTCAAAGGCTGTTGAAAAAGAAATGACCAGATAGCATACAAATAAAGTGAAGATGTTTTAAAAGCTTTTAACTATGACAAAACATCATATGAATGTACAGGCTGCTAACTGATTAGCAACATACACAGGATTCAGGCGGGTGTGTGGCAGGCGTTCCTCCCCCCCCCCAAAAAAAATTTGCAAAGCATGGGTTGTCCTCAGCTTAATAAAGAATATTTCGATAATTTTTACCTCAAAAAAATTTTCGCCTCGCTCTGCTGGGGGGAAAATTTAAGTTTGCGCCCCCCCTAACCTAAAATCCTGGATCTGTCCCTAATGCATCCACTCATAAATTCAAATTAAAAATTTACTCTTCAATTAATATTTTCTATCTTATATTGCCATAAATATAACAGTCTTTACATTACATTCATGAAAAGTATTATTTCTTTTGGAATTTATACACTAGCAAATATTACCAGTATCTTTAGAACTTTGATCAATATCAGTTTTTATTAAATTACCTATGTCACAATTCTTATGTTATTAAGTCACAGTCAGAACCGATTGTTCGACGACGTCATTTTAGCCGATTGAGCCCTGGTCAACTAGTGTAACTCATTAATGAAAAAAACTTGAGATTGATGTATAGTAGGAGTTGTGTATACCTGTGTGGACTGACAAATTTACAGAAAGACACAACAATCACTATGGATCCCAGCTTCTTTTTTTCTTCATTTTTATGAAAATTCCAATCTTTCTTCACCAAATATAAAATAAAGTTAATCAGGAGTTTTATCATAATAAAAGTTTTCATATTGAAAATAATTCTTTTTTGATACATGTGTGGCTAATAGTTAGGTATTTATTCTCCAATTGACTGTTTTGAGCCTAACAAGGGGAGATAACACTGGAATATCTTGTAAAGGCTACTAAATATGATATGAAAATAGTGTTCTTTCTCTCCAATCTTAAAAAATTCAATGAGAAACAATCAATCAAAGCTGATGCATTTGTTTCATTGCCCTTTCTTTATACCATTATACCAACTAAAACCAATCTCTTGCAAATGGCTGAATTTTTCAGCAATTGCTAATTTAAATTGAAAACAAAATGAACAAATTTAATAGACTAAGACCTCTTGCTCACTAATGATATCCCTGCTAGAAGTTTTTGGTAAACAGGAAGTTGATAAGTGATGAATGTGTAAACACTAAACATGTTAAAGCATTCTCACATGAAACTATATACTAAATATCAGGAGGCTTTGACACGAAAATCCTGAGAAAAATGCTAAGAAATTGTTTATTCATGGCCATTTCATGTAACAATATATATAAGAATTTGGTTAACAGGAATTTGAAGAGCAATGAATGTGAAAACACATCACATATTATAATATGCTTACAGAAAGCTTTCTGCCGATTTTCATAAAGCTCTGTTTTGTAGTTCCTGAGAAAAAAACGTAATGTTAATTTCATTAAGGACAGACTGACAGGGGTATCAAAAGAGTTAGCCCCATTGGGATTCTGAAAAACCAAACTATTTGACAACTCGCTAGAATTTTTTTTTAAATGAAATTGATAAAGATATCCAGATTTTAATCATGGAGAATTTGCTTAAGGAAATTAAAGGTGACATTTTTTTTTAATACCTAACCGATTAAACACTTTACCCAAGATAGCGCTTTTTATCTTAAATTAGATAACTTGTATAAACATAACTGGTAAAGCATGGTAACATAATTTTTAACTCCCTTTACAAAAATTGAAACAAACTTAATTTACATATTTTAACTTTCCAATATGAAGCTATGTAAAATTAAGTAATACACTGATGGGCAGATCCATATAAAACTTTGATGATACTGACATTTCAATATATAAATGACCATCTATTTGCCCAAAAAGGGAGACAAATATTTAAATGTTCTAATTGAAACATTATATCAACCATCAATAGACCATATATATAATGATCTCAAAATCTTACTAGAGTGGAGACCTCGTTCCTCTGGGGACGTCCCTTTCTAAACTATACTTTCTCATTCCCCAGAGGTACAGTGGTCTTCGCTTTTTGTTCCAATGAGCAACAAGAATTAAATTTTTGTTAAAATCAAACTAAGTTTAATTTTGGACCCTTTGGACCTTAATGTAGACCAATTTCAAAAAACGGGACCCAAAATTAAAAATCTAAAAACACGGTTAGATTTGGCATATCAAAGAACCCCAATAATTCAATTTTTGATGAAATCAAACAAAGTTTAATTTTGGACCCTTTTCACCTCAATATGAACCAATTTGATAGCGGGGTCCACAAATAAAAATCTAAATACATGGTTAGATTCAGCATATCAAAGAACTCCATATATTCAATTTTTGTTGAAATCAAACAAAGTTTAATTTTGGACGCCAATTTGGACCAACTTGAAACTGGGCCAAAAATCAAAAATCTAAATACATGTTTAGATTCAGCATATCAAAGAACCCCATATATTCAATTTTTGTTAAAATCAAACAAAGTTTAATTTTGGACCCTTTGGACCTTAATGTAGACCAATTTGAAAACTGGACCCAAAATTAAAAATCTAAATACACGGTGAGATTCGGCATAACAAATAAATAAATGTGGTCAAAGATTTTACAAATCTAATGCGCCATAATGTGCAATTAAAGATTACTTCTTGAAATTTTTCAATATTTGAAATTTGAAAAAAAAATAATATTTGAAGAATAATTCTTTTTTATTTCTGAAATCTGAAATGAGAAAAAATTGACCCCCCACAATTTCTTTTTACCCCCCCCTTTTTTCCCCCAAAAAATTCTTTCCCTCAAGATATGGTCATAATCTCAATTCAAATTTCCAATGGAGTTTGCAACCATAATTACCCATTTAAATTTACCATAGTGCTAACTTATTCTATTTTATAATAGAATTTAAAATATAGTGTCAAATCTTTCATATGGATTTTTTTGTAAAAAAAAAAGATGCAACATTTGCAGATATTTTTACTGGTCTTCCTTTATAAATATGCATTTCTTTAAACATAATTTAAAAGCAGTGTAAGGGAAGTAACCAAAACGTTGTATTTGGATTACCTCCCTTACACTGTTTTAAATTATCTTAATTGGTCATTAACCATTACTTTATACATAATTTAAAAGCAGTGTAAGGGAGATAATTTCAATGATGTATTTGATTTATCTCCCTTACACTGCTTTAAATTATGTTTTGTACTAAAGTATTTGTCCATTAACCAGGACAACCTTGTTTTTCCCCCTTTTTTGCCCCTAATTCTTAAACGGTTTGAGCCATAACCCCACAAAGCAAATCCTAACCATCCCTTTGTGGTATGGAAACTTGTAGTATAATTTCAGAGAGATCCATACACCGTTCCACAGTTATTGTCTGGAAACTAGAATATGCTTATTTTTGGCCCCTTTTTGGCCCCTAATTCCTTAACTGTTGGTACCATAACCCCCAAAATCAATCCCCACCTTCCTTTTGTGATATTGAACCTTATGGTAAAATTTCATAGAGATCCATTCACTTCAACTAAAGTTAGAGTGCGAAAACTAATGCGTCTTCGGACGACGACGACGCCAACGTCATACCAATATACGACCACAAAAATTTTTTTGCGGTCGTATAAAAATTGGATATGATAAAAATCTTAATGGGGAAACTTTATGGAAGGCAAAAAAGAAGTGTGTGTGTTACATGCACCAAACTACGATATCTCCTCATCAACTTTTGTTGTTGAGGAAAACCAACATTTTTCTATACTATTTGGAATTAACTCAAAAAAAAATAGATGGGTTAATGACTTTATTTAAGAGCATCTACATATCGATTCAAACAGTCTTCAGTCAACAGTTGTTTTTTCTTTAATTTGGTTAGGGCTATTCCATTAAAATGTATGTGGAAGGGTAGGAAAAAGTAAAATCACAAAAATACTGAACTCTGAGGAAAATTCAAAAAGGAAAGTCCCAAATCAAATGGCAAAATCAAAAAAACAAACACATCAAACGAATGGATAACAACTGTCATATTCCTGACTTGGTACAGGCATTTTCTTATGTAGAAAGGAAGGGAAGTTTAATTATTGAATGTGGGTCATGGGTCTTTTTTCAGTATGCATCTATAACCATTATGCAAAATTATCTAAACAAGAGTGCACACGCTGAAATGTCTCGCCTTCTTTACTAATCATTGATATTATGTTGATAGTCCTAAATATAAAGCTTTATTACAACTGTCACATAAACTTAACATTAACCAAGTAAACTAAACATTGACCAATGAAACATGAAAATGAGGTCAAGGTCAGATGAACCATGCTAGACAGGCATGTACAGCTAACAATTCTTCCATACAACAAATATAGTTGACCTATTGCTTATAGTTTAAGAAAAACAGACCAAAACACAAAAACTTAACACTGAGCAATGAACCTTGAAAATGAGGTCAAGGTCAAATAAAACCTGCGTGACTGCCAAATAGATCATAAAATATTTCCATACACCAAATATAGTTGAACTATTGCATATAGTATAAGAAAAACAGACCAAAACACAAAAACTTAACTATAACCACTGAACCATGAAAATGAGGTCAAGGTCAGATGACACCTGCCAGTTGGACATGTACACCTTACAGTCCTTCCATACACCAAATATACTAGACCTATTGCTTATAGTATCTGAGATATGGACTTGACCGCCAAAACTTAACCTTGTTCATTGATCCATGAAATGAGGTCGAGGTCAAGTGAAAACTGTCTGATGGGCATGAGGACCTTGCAAGGTACGCACATACCAAATATAGTTGAACTATTGCATATAGTATTAGAAAAAAAGACCAAAACTCAAAAACTTAACTTTGACCACTGAACCATGAAAATGAGGTCAAGGCCAGATGACACCTGCCCGCTAGACATGTACACCTTACAATCATTCCATACACCAAATATAGTAGACCTATGGCATACAGTATAAGAAAAACAGACCAAAACACAAAAACATAACTATAACCACTGAACCATGAAAATGAGGTCAAGGTCAGATGACACCTGCCAGTTGGACATGTACACCTTACAGTCCTTCCATACACCGAATATACTAGACCTATTGCTTATAGTATCTGAGATATGGACTTGACCACCAAAACTTAACCTTGTTCACTGATCCATGAAATGAGGTCGAGGTCAAGTGAAAACTGTCTAACGGGCATGAGGACCTTGCAAGGTACGCACATACCAAATATAGTTATCCTATTACTTATAATAAGAGAGAATCTAACATTACAAAAAATCTGAACTTTTTTTTCAAGTAGTCACTGAACCATGAAAATGAGGTCAAGGACATTGGACATGTGACTGACGGAAACTTCGTAACATGAGGCATCCATATACAAAGTATGAAGCATCCAGACCTTCCACCTTCTAAAATATAAAGCTTTTAAGAAGTTAGCTAACGCCGCCGCCGCCGGATCACTATCCCTATGTCGAGCTTTCTGCGACAAAAGTCGCAGGCTCGACAAAAATGGTTCTAGGTTGTAGGGATATTTTAAGTCCTTTCCTACCCTCCCACATACATTTTAATGGAATAGCCCTTAATCAAAAATAAAACCATAGTTTTTCCAAATAATTAAAAGTAAAGTATACATTTTAATGGAATAGCCCTTAATCAAAAATAAAACCATAGTTTTTCCAAATAATTAAAAGTAAAGTGTACATTTTAATGGAATAGCCCTTAATCAAAAATAAAACCACAGTTTTTCCACATAATTAAAAGTAAAGTATACATTTTAATGGAATAGCCCTTAATCAAAAATAAAACCATAGTTTTTCCACATAATTAAAAGTAAAGTATACATTTTAATGGAATAGCCCTTAATCAAAAATAAAACCATAGTTTTTCCACATAATTAAAAGTAAAGTATACATTTTAATGGAATAGCCCTTAATCAAAAATAAAACCATAGTTTTTCCACATAATTAAAAGTAAAGTATACATTTTAATGGAATAGCCCTTAATCAAAAATAAAACCATAGTTTTTCCACATAATTAAAAGTAAAGTATACATTTTAATGGAATAGCCCTTAATCAAAAATAAAACCATAGTTTTTCCACATAATTAAAAGTAAAGTATACATTTTAATGGAATAGCCCTTAATCAAAAATAAAACCATAGTTTTTCCACATAATTAAAAGTAAAGTATACATTTTAATGGAATAGCCCTTAATCAAAAATAAAACCATAGTTTTTCCACATAATTAAAAGTAAAGTATACATTTTAATGGAATAGCCCTTAATCAAAAATAAAACCATAGTTTTTCCACATAATTAAAGTAAAGTATACCGTAGTTGTCTCATTGGCAATAACACCACATCTCAATACTTTTATGTATAGCTTCTTTTATATTCTAACAAATATTACCAGCACCTTTTGAACTTTGATCCCCATCTGTTTCTGAACTACTGGATCCTTTAACTTCTGTTTCTGGTGGAGTTATCTCCTCTTCTTTCTTTACATCTTCCATGTTTGCCTCATCATCCCATTGTTTATTGAAATCTTGATCTTCTTTAACTGCTGAATCTCGGGGAGATCTGGGTGAAACTTTTGTTGACCTTGGCATTTGGAATCTCACCTTTTGTCCTAAGAAAATTGGGAAGGTAGTTTGTCAAAAGTTATTATAATGAGTAAAAAGCTGTAAAAGAATGATTATTAATATCATAATATGTCATATATCCTATTGCCAGATAAAACAGGAAACATGTCTACTGGATACCAACAGGGCTAAGCAACAGCATAGAGTTGAAAGTTTCTATATTTTCCTAAAAATAATGTTTGTGGGTTTTTTAGTGCAGGATAATTTATTGTCATATTTCCAATCCAGCGTATTCAATTTTAAATATTTTTTGCGTTTTAAAAGAAGTGAGTTAAAAGAAGTGATGTGAATGAAAAGTGTTACGATGCCCTTTGAAAGAACACATCACCAACAGTAACTTGATATGATTAGGGCCCCATATACTAGAACAAAACCAAATTCATGCACTTTGATGTGTTCAACTCCCTCAATTTACATGATTCAGTAGCATTTCAGAATTGATAAAATGATACAGGTATAGGGGAGATAACTCTAACTCATAAAATATACCACCATATGTTTATGGTAGAGTGACTGACCTTTAAAGAGTTTGACAGTTTTGGACATACACATTTTTTACCTTTTCCTTCTACACCAATAACTAATTTACCTTCAAGTTTCAAAACTCATTTTTCACAGTTTGCAATTAGGAAGGTGTATTAAGTAAATACACTGTCAACACTATTGACCCTTTTTTTGTTGTCAACCAAAATCTAAGAGTGATAACTGTCTTCTTAAACAAAATGTATTGATGCCACATGTAAAAATAAAATTTCAATATGCAGATACATCTTAATTTCATTTAAATGCATACAAAAAAGTAAAATCACAAAAATACTGAACTCTTGAGAAAAATTCAAAAAGGAAAGTCCCTAATCAAATGGCAAAATCAAAAGCTCAAACACATCTAACATTACTTGGTACAGGCATCTTCTTATGTAGAAAATGGTGGATTGAACCTGGTTTTATAGCTTCAATTTATTTAATTTCATTTATTTCGTGGAAAGAATATATCCACGAAATTAAATCCCCCACGAAAATATCACCTACATATAATATCACTTCCATTTACTGGAAACCACGAAATTAAATCCCTATGAAATCTTATATAGACACAAAACCACGAAATTTTAACCCCACGAAAATAAATGTTTCTACAGTATAACCATACTCCTTTCATTAATAGATGAATGCAGAGGTGACGAATGTGCCTTTCTTTGACGTCTCTGTTCTAACTGTTCTTGGGCCTTTTTGCGTAGAGCTTCTTTTTTCCTTAAAGCCTGAAATAGTATTCAAAGATATTTAACATATCCATTTTTATATTTAAATTGCAAATTTAATAAATTGATATCATACTTTGATTGTACTAAAATTCTATAATTTGAAAATTTTCAAAATTTTTACTGACTTTAGACAAATATGAAATCAATAAATAGTACATTCTCAGTTCTGCATTATTCGCAGAAGTATTTTTTTTTTTTTTTAATTTTACATTATTTCTTAAGTAAAAAAGTGTTAAATGTATCTTTTTTAGCTGCCCTTTTCAAATTAAAGGTTTCACTTTTTCTGTATAAGCATTCTTTATTTTAACATTATAATTAAGTTACAAAAATATCAAACCTTTTTATCAGCTTGAGCTTTCATGAAATAAGTTAAAAAAAAACATGTGTAAGAAATTATGAAATTCTCTTATCAAGGAAGGAATAAATCACTTTATCAAACTTTGTCAAAATGCTAATTCCACTTAATCCAAATACAAATACATTGTATATATGTGAAATTAACCTTGGCTTTACTACAAAAACTCTGAAATTAAGACCATGGAGTCAAATTTGCATAACTTCTGTGACATACAAATTGTATAAGTCTCCATTTACATAAAAATGATTAATTTTGAAAAAAGAAGATTGCAGAACAGTTATATCTTTCTTTTGGCAAGAAATGAACCCTTTTTATTATCTAAAGCCTCCTTTGTTCAAAAAGACAATATCAATAATTTTTTAGATTCTCTATCATAACTTTTAACATGAACTCAAGATTAAAACTATTAGTTGTTATATAGGAATAGGCCCTGAAAATCCAAGTATCATGAGTTCCAAGTGGTAAAATTGAGGTTATCTTCCGAAAATTTCAAGGACACCATCAAAAGTTGGTTGACCATTATCAAATGTCTCAGATGACAAAGGATATAAGTTCCAATTGTTGTAACCACAATCCTTTCTCTTTTAATTGATTGTGACATCAATGAATGAGACTTATTTCCAAAGTTGCACTTACAACAAGCAACATAACAGATGCAACTAGTAGAGCAGGATCTGTTTACTCTTCTGGAGCACCTGAGATCACACATAGTTTTTTGCTTAGTCTTTAGTTTTTAGTTTTTTATGTAGTGTTTTGTGGACAAGTTTGTCTTTCATGCTTCTCATGTTTTGCCATGCTGTTTTAAGATTTACTTCAACTTATAAGTTTCGAATGTCCTCTTGGGATCTTCTGCCACGTTTTAACAATGTATCAATAAGCATTTTGATGTTTCATTAATACATATCGAGTAAATAAACCTAAATTGAGTATTAAAACTAAATGTTTTTAGTGGTTTGTTTCCAGAATTGAAAAAAATTACAATTTTATGAAAATTTCTCCATTCTAGTTATTTAATGTCTTTACTTATAGACCACTTGTTTCACACACTACTTGTCCAAAACAACAGATTCATTATTGTTTGCTGCTTAACATCCAGTGGCAAATATTTCATGCATGTTTGGGACAATCAGATTCAAAAGATGCATAAACTTAAGGTACATTAATTTTGTAATTAGAAATGTATCATCACAAAATAAAATCACTAAGTTCACAAAATGTTATCAACTGTTCCTAAGATTAAAAACCATCTACAAACAGACCAAAGTTGTGCAGAATATAACACATAAATGATATAGAATCACTAATTATTTTTTGCTAATTACTAATTATTTTTGCTATCATTAATTATTTTTGCTAATCACTAATTATTTTTGCTATCACTAACTATTTTTGCTAATCACTAATTATTTTTGCTATCACTAATTATTTTTGCTAATCACTAATTAATGTTTGCCTAGATTCTTGCTTCAATAGTGCCAGTGGTATGTCTATAAAGCAATAACAATTCTAAGCAATATCCTCTTAACAAGCATTCCTGCAATAAAATAGGCAATTTTTTTTTTATCAATAACAGGACAAAAGATTGAATCATAATCTAAAAGATTAGTAGAAAGATTGCAAGCCTGAAAAACTTATTCAGTCTTAAAAGTTTCTGCTTAACCCTTCTGATAAAATATAACATGTAAATTCAAATCTGATTAAGATATTTCTGTCTTTAAAAGGTCCCTTAATATCTGAAAATGTTAAGATTATTTTTTTAAATACGATAAATACCACATCTACCTAAAATCAAAAACATGCAATCATTAAAAAAATATCCAGTGGAATAGTCACTCTGTACACAGAACATTCAATCTTAAAGTAACTGACCAATCAGAACACCAGACTTGTGCATGTAATCAGATTATGATTGTATATACCCCATTATTATATAGCATAATTCTATTCAAGGTTTTCCAATATTTGTGGCGCATGTAGTATCAACTGTCATCCAATTTTGTTAGCCACAAATTTTACATGATACTCGAAAAATCGAATTATCAAAATTTGAAAAAAAAAAAATTGAATATTATTATTAAAGTCATAAAAATCTTTTCTTTCTTTTTTTAAATATCACCATGAAGCTATACCATTGTTAATAAGTCACATGTATAACAGTGTAATACTTATTATGTTAACAGTTATTGAGAAGGCTGCAGGATCCTAGGTCGACATCATATTGGCGACATTGCCTTAGCTTTGGTTCGTAAAAAGAAAAACATTACACTGAATAGCTGTTGTTTTTTATATTATGGTCAGATAATTAGAAAGCATCCCCACATTTATGGTGCCGTGACCAAGATTTGAACTTGGGTTGCCATAAGCAGGCCACATAAAACTTCAACATGTACTTCCATTACTTTGTTTAAAAAATCATTGCATGAAACAAACAAAAATAAAGGCAACAGTAGTATATCGCTGTTTAATAGTCATAAATTGATAGAGAAAAAAACAAATCCGGGTTACAAACTAAAACTGAGGGAAACACATCAAATATAAAAGGAGAACTACGACACAACAGAAACACCTGAATTTGAAAAGTTATCACCTGATTTGATCTTGATGCCAAAGTTAGAATTTTAATTCAGGAACTTTCCTTTGGAGATAAAAATCTTTGCATTATATTCTACTATGTGCTCCTTAATGATTTGTACAAATTTCAGGTTCAAAAATTTTTTTCCATGCCTCCGTCTTGTTTTGTCTTTGAAATTTCCAAAAAAATGACATTTTATTTGATTTGAACGGGTAAGTGATAATTTTGGATGCTTTTGCTTTGACCCCACTGCATATGGACATTTGAAATTAAAAAGCCAAGTCAAATATGTTGTTAGGTCAGATTAATAAAAGTTTAGCTTCAATTTTCCATTACTTTTTTTTTTCAGGTTCTTTTACGGTAATTGCAATGAAAAAGAATTCTTTTTCTAAATTTTGAATTGCACAAGTACTGGTGTCCTGTTAGATCTGGTTACCACTCTCTGTGAACAAAACAAAAGGTGCATGCATTAGCTCCTCCTACCATGAGACGATTTATAAAAGAATTTTCTGGATGTAGTTGCTTTGGAGCCATTCCATGTTTGGCTTTTTGTTCATAAGATTTCATATGATCATCATATCTGTCGCAACAAGCACCATCAACTCCTTCATGTTTATGCTGCAAAATGATTGAGGTATAATACAGTTCTTCCTCTAGAGAGAGCATCTTTTAACATCTACATTTCCAATTGAGCAAAATGTTGATACATTCAAAGGAGTAAGATAGTAATAGTTAGCATAGGTTTTAATTTGTATCCATATTTAATCGGCAAAATATATATATATGTAGAAAAAAGGGCATTTATTAAACTGATTCTTTCTTTCTGTTAGATTTCAGTTTTGGACCATTGTGTTAAAAGTACATTTTAAAAAACAGTATTATAAACTGAGAAAAACCCTGCCCTGTTGGGAACTGCAAAATCTAGGTCAAAACCTTATTTGGCAAATATTCTGTAATGGTCACATGATAATGAACATGTTTTCAAAGTTTCAGGTGATGCAACTTTGTGTTGACTACCTTAAACCAAGACTTTTAACATGATGCAGAGAATCTGCTGGATAGATGAACAGATGGGAAAGTATAATGCCCCCTACCATATCTTAAGCAGGGCATTAAATTTAGTCAAAATGAAACACCTTTAAACCAAAATTAGTACTTTATCATGAACAAAATAATGTTACACTAATATAACTGGCAATAGGTATTAAACAAGGTATTAGCATAAAGGTATTAAATATTTGAAGCAAATCAGTGATGGAAGAAATTATCTGGTTACCTCTCTGAGATTGGTATACAGTTTCTCCACTGTTGGTGCTGTCCCTACAAAACTTACATATGGTCTGCTGTTTAACTGAAATGAAATCCCATTATAATCAGCCATTCATTATAAAATTCTAAAATATATACAGATGTAGAAAGTCAATAGGATAACATGTCCAACTCATCCATCTTCAATGAACTGTGAAATCATGGTCCAAACCCAAATTTGGCACATATATTTCACCTTATCATAATCATGATAATGAACATGTGTACCAAATTTTCAGGTTAATGTGACTTTTCATATATATAAGATGTCAACTTCAACACTGTTTCAAAAAGATATTGGAGGATTCTTACATGTATATTGCGAGCATAAAATACAATAACAATGCTGAAAATGGAAATAGCTGTTAAGGACTGAAGTGTTACATTTTTTTCCTTCAAATTACTGGTTTAGAAATACAAAATGTATCTATGAAGGGAGATAATATTTACATTACAAATTATCTCCCTTGGTTATGAATCTATTAGATGACAAAAACTTCAAATGTATCATGTACTCAAAGTTTACTAAGTTTTCTGAGAGATGAAAAAAAACAAAGAACTAAAACTTATAAGAGTAACTAGATATATGAAAAACTGTATATTCTTTGCTAACACAGGCCGCATTCATATAGGTCACTGACAAATCAAAGCAAATAACTGAAAAGTTTGTATAGCTTTAAAATTCATATGACAATGTTGCATAGACAAAACATTGTGTCATCTCTATTAATCAAAATATTCTCTCCCTTGTTCATGCGCTCTGCTCTATCACTAGAAAGGAAGAAAACTGATCTATGTGATCTAAATTAAGGATGTTCGCTACTCTTGTTTTTGACTTTTTGTCAGATATTCGGAATTCTCTAGTTTTATCCATGTTAGTGCCAATAAAAATTTTGACTGCTAACCCTCACTTTTCTTTTCATAATCTTATTATATATTGTTTAAAAAGCCATTTTTGAAAATCTTATATAATCCTTGTTATTTTTTCCCAGTATTTGAAAGAAAAAAGGTGCCCATGTTAAATACATGAAAAATCTAGAGAGAAACATTTCCCGCCAAATTTTCAATGGCTTATATCTCGAAAACAAGCACACGGACCCTTCATTTTTTTCTGCTTTTTTAGTTCCTTTATGTATATACTACAAATTTATAACAGTCTTATAAAAAGCTTGTTATTTTTAAACAGAGTAGCGAACATCCTTAAGCAAGAATATATGTTTCTAAATCTAACTACACATTTTTACACCTACAAATACAACTAAATTCCGATGGATCACTACAACATGAGTTGAAGGTATTAAGTTTTCATTGGCAACAACAGGGTCATCTCTAATACACAAAATCACTCATGACACAAATATACCAACCATTAATTCAAATTCTGCCTATGAATATATCAATTAATCATAGATTAGTTATATAATGAATAGAAATTATTTTCAATCCAAGTTTTCAGAATCTGAAGCATTCTGGGTAAAATTTTCATAAAACATTCTGATTGGTCAACATTGTCATAAACAATGGAAAATCTACCAATGATGTGATATTATTTTCAGTTTTGGGAATGAACAATAAAATTGTACAATGATAGCTGAAAAATGACTAATTATTATCTTTAATTTTGGAATATTTTTAGCATACTGGGCAAATTAGAATAACAAATATACAAGATATTAGTGTTACCTTAAATGATGGAGAGCAGTTTAAAAGACAATTAATTTATTTAATGTTGAGGTTACTAAAATTAAAAACCTTCTTATAAAAAAATGTCCCAAGTGATATCATATCATTATGTAAGGTCATTCTACACTATGGAGACAATTAACCAAAAGAAAAGGTTTTGGAAAATCAGGTTTGCAAATTACTTATACTTTAAATGTTGCTTTACACCAATTGAGCCTTATTTTAAATTATTCTGTCTTTTGTTAACCCTTTCGCTGCCACGGCAAAATTTCAAAATTCTGCGTTCAGTGCCACGGCTTGTTTTGGAAGTCGTTGCGAAGGTAAAGGAGGCTTTGTGACGTCAACAATAGAAGAAAGTTCTATTGAGAAATGAATGATGGTTTCCATTTCTACAGCATGTGATATGGCAATTCCGATATTTCCGGAATAATACAATATTGTTACTTGTCAAAATTAATATCTATATATATATAATGTTTATTCAATAACAAATCATTATACCCTCAGAAACATAAATCAAAATAACACGATATATTATAAACATACAATCAATAAAAAAAACCACCAAGTCTAGCTATATTTGAAATTGTGATGCAATGCAAATTATGCAGAACATGTAGTAGGATAATGAGGGGAAAACTATAATACCTTCCGAAAAATGTATTGATACCGGCATAAAATGCAAACGTCAGATATTTTGAAAAGCCCAATTCACGGCACGGCCACCATATACATTACGAAACCCTTTTGCCACCCGTTTCATACTATGTCAAATATTATCAAGCAAAGAAAACTTTGTTCAGAGGTCCACCCGGTGCAAAATATTATTTTCGCCTGAAACACTTAAGACTATAAAACGCCGAGGTCTAAGAAAATAGACAAGAGTTTCTTGATATTTCATAATATATTTACAAAAACTAACAACTCAGAATATTTACAACAAAAAGTCCAGCTTCCTTCCCTAAAGAGATGCAATCTTGTTTGTCTCTATAAAAGCAATCATTTAATTTTCAAGATGGGGAATTTGGATCAAATTATGGATCCTGATTATTTTTTAGGCAAAATTTCGATCGTGGCATTGTCTTTCGGCACGCTGGTGCGCGCAATTTTTTTTTCTGAATTAAAATAATCTTTAATTTTGTGCACCTTTTGTGTTCCGGCTTTTTTATTTTAACCAATTGCTCAACCTTGATATTTTCACTAAGAAACCCCGTCCTGCATTTGACCTCAAACATATCCCCCCCCCCCCCCCCCCCCCCCCGGAATTAAACTAAAATTGTTACTTACTGAGGAGATGTGGATACATAATTTGGAAGGACGGACGGATGCAAACCAAGATTCAGAGTAATAAAATAATTTCATGTCATGAAGCGATAACGGTAAATCTTGTGTTTGGAATGTTACACAATGTAAGAGAATATAAAATGTATATTTTATTAGGAATAAAATAAATATTTGTACCTACACGTAGATAAAAACGGGTACTTATAAGCCCATTAATGATCACACTCTGTGACTCTGTCCCAATTTGAGTTTTTATAAGGCAGAAGCTATTTTTCTGGCGTCGCCAAAAAAATATATATGCTATTTTGCCGGCTCTAGATATTAGTGGAAGCCAATATTGTCAGTAAAAACGATTTTGTTTACAGATACATGTATTTAATTCAAAGAACTGACTATTATTTCAAAAACAAATTTAATTTGAACATTTTTGCTTCTGAAGCTAAGTGATTGATTTTATCTGATTCTAGAAGTAATTTCAACTGCATGTTTTAATTACTATGATTTCCGCATTTTAGAAACATCCGTGATCCAAGATCCAATATTATATTGAACGTATTTGAAAATCAGATGTATACAAAAATTAAATGAAATGGGAAAATCACGGTAGGGTGAAGAACCACCTCTTAAAATCTGAGTTCCAAATTATTGTTTTGGCCGGAGGAGTTCTAGTCCAATTACCAAATTGCACCATTTTTTTTGAAAAAAATATGTTGATGGCCTAGCTGCTGACCGAAAAATAATTAGATTTTGCATTGTAGCGTGAACAAATTTTTATGCTGTCACCTGCTTCATGTAGTTCTATTTCACATGATAGGAAAAAAAATGTTGCTTTCCTTCTAAAAATATCGGAGGAAGGTTCTGAAACACAATGAAAATCCCAGCCCCCCCCCCCCCTCCCCAGATAAGAAAATGGTTGTTGCCTAATATAACCTTTTTTTCCTAATTTTTCGAAAAGTGCTTGATTTTTTCTACATTTCAGTGACGTCACAATTAAAAACATGACGTCATTTTTGGAACTATTGGCATTGCGCTTCCAAAATGTCAGACATTTCCGAAGATTCCGAAGTTTCCAGTATTGAAAGTGAAACGGATTCAGATGTTGATCTAGCTCAAGAGATCACAGAATCGGAGAGTAGCGAAGATGAAAATGTGCCGAACCAACGTCCATGGTTTAGAATCTACCCACCAGAAATAGATGAAATGCAACAGAACTTTGCCGAGAATGTTGGACTTCAAGACGCTCCTCCAAGGAATTCAAGACCTATATCTTATTTTTTCCTGTTTATGACAATGGATTACTTAAGACAAATAGTTACAGAAACCAAAAGGTACTATCATGTACATATTTTATCGATGCATGCTTTATGTACATCACCAAGGAATTGATAAACATAGAACATTTTCATAATTTAAAACCGGACATAAGTCGAACATTTGAACTGCTTATTTGCTTTAAAAAAGTTATTTGGCATTTTATTAAAAAGTCGGAAGTTAAGACCCCAGGAGGGGGGGGGGGGGGTTACTTCCTATATTTTTTGTGGTACGAGTGTGCCGCAAAACAGGGTCGCTTTTTCATGCCCTGCTGGTTAGAACAGGGTCCCTTTTTCATGTCCTGCTGGTTAGAATTGGGTCGCGTTTTCATGCCTTGCTGGTGAGAACAGGGTCTTTTTTAGACAAAGTATTTGTCTAGAACAGGATCTTACATTAATGAATTATTTGGTGACAGGGTATAAATTTCTGAACTAGTCTAGAACATATAGGTCTCTATCTAGAACAAGGTATACATTTTCTGAGCGTGTCTAGAACAGGTATACATTTTCTGAGCGTGTCTAGAACAGGGTATGTTTTTCAATATTTCTGTTTAGAACAGGGTATGTTTTTCAATGTTTTCAGGTTAGAACAGGGTATGATTTGGCAAGTGCTGTCGGCACAGTTATACCCGAAAGGATAGTCAGTAACCACCACCCCGCGGTTAAGACTATGAGCCCTTAGACGCTCATTTTACACACATGCATGTACGAAGAGACACTACCTTATTAACATTAGAACAGTCACCATTGGCGGATCTATGATCGG